TATAAAGCAAATAAATAAAGTGTCCTTGGATAAACCTGTTTTTAAAGTACTGTGCCTGAACAATGACTTATTCAAAGCATATAATACATATTAAGTCATGCACTCAAATTATCGAATTTTGAAGGTGTGTACCAGCAAGTGTGCCTAAAATGTGCAAATACTGTGATACAAAATATACAAAAATATTTTGTTTTGTTATATTGTAACGCTTTTTGTGTTTAAATCCCCAACAGCTAGATAGCAGTGTTGTAAGAGTAAAGTAAGCTCTGATGTTGGATGCTACAGGGACTACAGCCATTTTCTGACAATTAGGTTAAAAGAAAAAATAAATCACAATATATCACCTTCCTTACAGTATCACAATATTCAGAATCGTAACCCCTGTATAGTAATACATATCATATCGCCAGATTCAGCCCTATTGGCGAGACATGTGGGTTATATTGGAATTTTTACTTTCCATAATGCACAGAGGTAAGAATAAAAATGTATTTCCCCAAAAGATATTTGGGGAATAAAAAACATTTATGAAAACTTACACCTATGAACAAAGTTCATATACATATACTCAATACATATTTGCTCTACAAATCTGGCCTGGGCTTAGTTTACAGTGGTTGCTTAAAGCTGCATTCATCGATTTATTGGCCACTTTGATAAGATGTAAACACAACACTGACATATTATCACCTTATAAAGTAGATATGACAAAACATTAGCAAACCGTTATTTACAGGTCAATATATAGAAAAACCTGGATTCTTGTGGAGTTACTTATTTTCGGACAAATTTAGGTCCAATGGTCAACCTCCTTGTAGCTCTGCTTTTGGTCTCTACCACATTCTGAGGGAAATATCTGGCTCTTTAACCTGCCCGTCTGCTGTCTGGTGCTGAGCAGGTGGCGAGCAGTGGGTTTATCAGAGCTGTCGCACTGAAAACACTCAATGTGAGCAGTCAGTGTGAACAAAAATGGTGACACTAACAGTGCCAACCGCAGTAGAGACCAAAGACAGAGATAAAAGAGATGGATGCAAGACTGACAGTCATCAGATGGCCAGAAATAGGAATCCAGTATCGGCACATCAACTTAAAAGGCGATCTAATGCCAATGCTGTGGTCACAACTTGTTTACTCTGCCCCCAAGTGGCCCAAAAAGTTATTATTATTGCAGGTTTAAGGATCTTTTCTATGTCTGTATTCTGATTCTTGCTTGTGTTGTATAGACTGAAGTACACAGCAAAGAAAACTACAGGTTTCGTCCTCAATGTGCAGCTCACTGCAGGGACATCCACTTCATTGTTCTTAGGCACATGCGATAAAAAGGTGTTTTGCAGGTGGCCCATGGAGAGCGAACACGTTAGCTCTAACACATTCAAGGAATGAAAATGTACAAAAACACTTGTAACAATAAATCAATGCTTATATAATATTTTAAAGAATAGAACTACTGAACTGAGTTCATCCTACTAATTGTCAGCCTACCACTCATGATTACAACAAGCAAGCTTCTTGCATAACAAGTTGACCATAGATAACTATAGACCATTTAAAGAAACAACTGCCTTTTATGTAAAAATGCAGCCATGATTCCAGTTCACATCACACAGCAGCACAGCAGGAGACAAGAGCATCCATTTCTTCTTAACGGAGATGATGCAAATTTGCCATTTGCCTCAGGGACATTGTACTGTCAGGTATCATTTGGGTATTTAGGGACTGAAGACTTTTCACCTAATGTGGGTGTCAGGAACGCCCTGTGGCAAAAGTAACCAAGGCAACCAGCTCAAGGCCAAACCCACTGTGCAATAATTACTGCGCAATACCATACCATATTCATTGAGCAATCTATTGCCTATGTGCAACTGCTGCTTCTATTTGTGTTATCGGTTGTTGTGGATTCTTACTGTTTTTTCTCTTGTACATAGTGTTTTTATTTATTATTTCCTTACTCTTACTGTTTTTGTACTGTTTTTTCTCTATCCACTTTGCTGCTGTAATTTCCCCATTGTGGGACTAATAAAGGAATATCTATCTATCTATCTATCTATCTATCTATCTATCTATCTATCTAAGGCAACACTCTTTTTGCAAGGCTTCTTTTTTCAAATTAGTAATATAATATTACACACATCTTTCCCCAAGTAATGGTGGTTAAAATGTGATGGAGTGGCTTAAAGCAAAATCTCACCCGGGGGGGGACTATACTCACTTCTCTGAATTTCAGTACATTTCAGTTTGTTACCTTTGTGCAAACTTGCTCCTAAATAACAGTTGCAGAAATCTGGTTTAAATACGCATTGATAAATATGCTCTTGAGGTTTTTAATAGCAATAAATATGAACCACAACTAGTTTTATCGTCAGCTGGACATAGACATCATCTTATTTTGAAGATAAAAACTGTGACAGTGAGACTCTCAACTGCAAAAAAATGTCAAATCAGCTACTCTCAAGGCCACTAACCATCACCAGCATTCATCACAGTAGAGAGAACAAAGAGCTGACTGGGAGTTCGGTCTCTCCATTTCTCCCGTTCAAGCTTGCTGCCACAGGGATGAAAGAAAATCATTCACCAACTTCCCAGCCACCCAACCGTGCGTTCCTAACGTCATGAGCGCTCATGTGAAGAGAAAAGAGTGCATGTCCCAGGATCCTTGTGGGTGTGCGTGAGTCAACACTTTCATAAGATATGTAAATTTTCAACCTTTTGGCAAAAGTGCAGACCAAAAATCCAGAAAACCAACGGGGACTCTCTTAAGTAATGGCCCCAATAAAAGAGTATAAGGAAAGTTATCACTGAGCTGGATGACCCCCATGGTGGTCACATGGTGACATCATTGCATCATTACTCTTTAACCCCACAAAGTCTGGACAGGCCTCATAATGAACAGGGACTGTCTGCAACACACACCACAATAAATGTAATCCTCCTCTGTAAGGAACTAATACACTACAGTAGATAGATCAGAGAGAATATAAAGTCTCTTAAAATGGGCACTGCGTGAAAAGTTAATTTAAAGGATATGCTCATTTACAGCAATTATGTTTCCAAATGTAGGCTACACAGCTCTGAAAAAGAAAATGTTTCCCATGATACACAGCAGTTTAGATAAACGGGTGTTTATCAGATGGATATCTTGGATTTAAAACAAATTCCTCCTGAGCAAATGCTGGGTCCCGATTGTTCGGAAGTACCAGTTCCTCTTAGAAAATAAGTGAATTTAGGATGTTCCAGTTTATGTCCAAACTGGCCTGTTTGGAAAGAGAAGGCCCAGTCACACGTTCCACACTGTCTAACTTTTAAAACACTGAAATTTTGTGTCCAAATCAATAAGTATCATCACAGTCAGTGGATTCACCAGCGGGTGCTGAGTAGCCTAAATCTCTCTGTGTGGAATTCAGCTTTGATAAACCAGTGCTAACAGTGCTGACCTGTGAGGTGACAGGGAACCAGACTCCAAATTAAGACAGTCTGCAAAAAATGGTACCAAACACGACGGGAAACACAGCAAATCTTTTCCATCACCAGGTAACATCAGAGCAACCACACCTTTATTTTAATAAGTTAAAAGGAAAGCTAACTTGCATTTATCTGTTAAGGCAGAAAAAGGGTTAAATGTTTACATTATGATATGCTATTATTGATCTTAATAGACTGTATTCTGAAGTTTAACTAATGAACCCACTGGTTTCTTCAGGCATCATTATCAGGATACTCTGCAGCAGTATTATCAAATTATATATCATAAAAAATATCAATCAGTCAACACTTACTGTGATTATTATTTTTATACATATTGCCCAGCCCCAACTCAAAAGATCAAAAAAAGATGTATCCTATAATCCTGAGAGCAAAATGCCAGAGGGAGCAAACAGTGCAGGGAAAATAGAAAGAAGCTACAGCTTGTGAGTACGTTCAGCTTTTAGAGCCGGATATAGTAGTTCACCAAGTAGCACTGTGAGTAGTCCTTACATCAGCATCCTTCCAATACTTCCTATTTCACAATTATTGTCACTGTCTGGTACAACTGGGCCTATATATTGCCTGTAAAAAGCAGAACTTTTGAAACACGTAACAGTTCATTCCTGCAGCTTCTAAAAGAAAAAAAATCCAATTTCAAAAGTGTCTTTTGTGAACATCACAGCTCACACATCACACGCACATAATCTCCCCCGACAGGGATTCTGTTGTCTGGTGCAAAATTTGATATACAGGCTACTTCAAGAACGCTTTACAAATAAAATTGATCAGTTTCATGGGCGGCTTGAATTAAGCTGCCCTCCTCTCTTTCAAACCACTCCCTCCAGCGCGCACACACACACACACACACACACAAAAAGATGGTGCCTTAGAGCATGTGTCTCAACTTCCTTCTTCACAGATGCAGTCATGATACCAACAGTTGCATGTGGGAAATAAAAGGCAGAGGAGCCAAGAATGACAGAGAGCAGACAGACTTCACCTCTGAGGGCTTCATAAATGCACAAGTCAATACAAAAATCACCAGACCTTTATATTTACAACTGCATATTCTGGCAAAACTGCAACTGTACTCGGTGTACTAGTGTCTTTGTGTCACATTTAAGCTCCACTGAGCAAAACATAGACCCCTTTACAGCCATCAAGTAAAACAATGTTTGCAGAGGGTTGCAGTAAGCCTCTCTTTGTATCATAAACCTGTAGATGGATTTCAGTGGGTTCATTCTGACTGCAGAGGGGATTTTCTTTGCAGGCTGTGAAACTGCCACTGGTATATTTTTAAGATGCATTCACGACACCCACGGTTTCATCATATGCCAGCCATCATATAGAAAAGAAACAAAGTGATGTATCAGAATATGTGAGATTCATGCAGCTGGCGGATGAACCACGGCTGTACCGGTGTGTGTTCCTGTCATTCTGAGCTGAAATGTCTGACCCTGCAGTGAGCAGACAGCATCAACAGGTGTGCAACTTCACATCTTCACTCTCCTACATGCAAATCAGGGACATAAACTCACACAAACGCATGGTAGATGAACGCCCAGGTCCTCGGTCTCTCCAGCACGTTGTACAGGTAGTTTTGGAGCCGCCGGTAGCGCACGTTTCTCCGGCCGCTCTGCGCGCTGTATATGAGCGGCTTCCCGAGCAGGCTGAGCCGGGCTCCCTGCTTCACCCTCAGGCTCTCGGACCCGGCAGCACCTGCCGCGGCGGACGCTGACAGCAAACCGTCTCCTGCGTTGTTCATCATCCTTCGTCCGGACTCCACATCTTTAAAGCCGTAGCCTTCGTTACGGTGCCCCGGCGACGTCCTCATCCAGAGCCCGGTGCCGCCGCCTTCGTCTCCGCTGTGGTTCCGGGGCATGGCATCACCAAAGCGGGCATCAAGTGCGCGGAGTTCTTTTCAAGCATGCGTGTCCCGTGCCCTGGACGGAATCAATTACAAGTGCGAGACGCAGTGGGCGCAGGGTTGAGAGTGAAACCGCGGCCAGAGCAAGTCACACTGTTAACCGTCACACTTTGACCGCCCTCTTTCCGCTCGCATCAAGCTCTTCTCCAACCATACACACAGCTGCCGCCGCGCGTAAAGGTATCCACTGCGCCTGGCCTGTGCGCGGTGCTGTCCAATCTGACGAAGCAACAACTTCTACCCACAGTGTGTGTGTGCGTGCGTGTGTGTGTGTGTGATATTTTTAGTGTTCATTTTCAGCACAGGCTCACTTCCCAGCGCGCTTTGCCGCCTGTTGCTGTCAGCTGCGCGTTCGCGGCAGATGCACATCTGTGCTAGTCGTGCCCGCGTGTGACTTTACCTCGCTCGTCGTGTCACAGTAAACAGTTTGATATGTTGTTGTTGTTTTTTTTTAATCTTACCTCCACATCACTTAAGAATGAAGCTTTCAGCCTCCTGGAGTTGTTTTTTTTTTTAGGTGGCAGCAGAAATGCAAATGAACAACCGTCGCTCCTCGTGTAATTTAATTTCCCGAAAAAGTTCCAAATTACACACACATTTTTTTAAAAAGCCTATCAGGTAACATGGATTCTGATGAATTTTCCACTTGGTCGGCTGGAAAAGTAACCGCTGAGGACGGCTCGCTGAACATCTGCAGAAAATATTATGGTGTAACCAAAATGGCTTTTAATCCGGAGAAGCTTTTTTTTTTGTAATATGTGTTGTGTAAATATGGTTTTATGAACAGTTCCTAAGGTTATATTTGATCACATTTGCATGAGAAAAGCCCTGCAGTGTCGGCTCTGTCATCTGCTGTCCTGCTGTCACTGCAACCACGTGGCATTAGACACATTTCCCTTATGTGAGTTTATTTTGAACCCATCATGCCTTCTGGTGTCTCATGGTGCTGCTGTGCTGCTTTAACATTACAAACTCAGAGTTGTTTATGAGGCATAAGACATTTGGCCCACAGCGGTGTGTGTGTGTGTGTGTTCAGGGCTAACTGTGTTGATTAAGGAACTTGATGTAGTGAAAATCCTGCTTCCCCTTTTCTCAAGACCTAAATTGAAAGTGGTTTGAAAAATGTGATGTCAGTTGGACTTCCTTTTCACAGGCATACATTAGGCATATTTTTACTTTACAGAACATTCTCCTAAAGCTTCCTCATCATCAGCCTTACTTCTTACAGTTCTAGTGAGTGAGGAGGGGAAAGCAGTATGTATGTGTGGCTGCCTTATCAGCAAGAGTCAGCATCCTGTCACAAATACTGTGTGTATGTGTGTGTGAGTGAATGAGGGTCAGAGAGCATGGAAGTGTGTATTCTCATGTAATCTATAGAAGGTGAGAGAGTGTAAGACTTGGTTTTAGCTGCTGAGGTTTGATAATCACTGACTGAGCGACTCCTGCTGTCCCCAAACAAAACTACACCATCTACTGGTGGCTGCAGCACCAGACAACCTTCCTGAGCACAATCTCACAGGTTCTGAATGCAAATCCTCTCTCAGTTCTTCTTGCAGTTTACCCACAAGTCACAGCAATATCTTTTGGGCACTAGGCTATAGCTTACACAGTTTGATGAAGCTTGGTGGGTTCAGACATTCCAAACTCGAACCTCATCCAAACCCAGAGAACTTGATTTTAAATTTTGGTGGAGATCCCAGCGTTTCCATAGATACCAGATATGTCAGGCTGAGCCTGGAACAGAACTTTCTCCAGTATCATTTGTATCACCTGTGCTTACCCTACTATTTCATGTCAAGCAATTTCATGGCTGCTGTGAAAAAGGTCTATTATGCTTTAGGAATGCCCCAGACCTCATCTGTTCTATGTTCATATAAAACAAAGAGGAAACTTTTTTTTTTTTTAAACAGCTAAAATATACTGTAACTGTAGTTAAACTCAACATGTTCCTCTTGAGGAAAAGCAGTGGTAAGCTTACAAGCGGTATAGACTATTCTTGTCATGTGATGATGTGGTTTCCTGCGTCAAGTTCACGCACCCTGTCATGTGTCTTCAACAAGTCAAGACATTAGAATGAAGAAATGCAGCCTCACAATGAACACCTCTCAAAGTAAACAGTCTATTTCATGTCAGGAGACAGAATTCAGCTTATACGTCCCCTTACCCAAAGTCTCGGTTTCTGTTTACTGTTTTACTTCGTTTCTTTGGGGGGGGTCATGCTAATGTTTAATATTAAAAATGAACTTCATAATGTTTGTATTTCACTGTTTCCACCGATGTTGTGAACTTTGACCTGATCAGATAGATTAATCCATTTCCTGGGAGCAGCATGGAAATTTTAACTTGACCTCCGACTCCAACGATCTGCGGTTCTCCTTTCCACCATGGTCCGTATCCACGCTTTGTAGTCGGAGGTCGTGACCCCTGATGCTGTGACGAGGGGAACCGGGGGCCCGGCTGGCACGGCAAGGCTGGTGGGAGGGTTAGTCAAGATTGCCTGCAGATGTTGTTTCGGGGGGCCCTCTGCTTATTTAACAAGAGGATGTGGAACATAAATCTCCCAAGCCCTCCGCTGCACTGTATCACATGAGAGGTCACACATGAGGCCATATTGGCTCAGCTTCCTCTTCAGTGAGGCGCGCTGTAGCAGCACCCAGGGCAGAGAGTTATAGTGTTATATTGTAGCAGTACACGGCTGTCATGCACTTTTATCAACAAATACTAGATAATAAAACTTGCTTACCTCTACTATATGAGATTCTTCTTTCCTTACTTTGCTGAAGCTACATGGAGACAGAGCAACCTCCAGCTTGTGAAAGGATAAAAATGATAGTAAAGGCAGCACTGTGAATGGAGGAGCCTGGCCTGTAATTGATAAAAATGATTAAGGGATTTAGAGTGTAGGAGCCCAGACTGACAATTATCCAACGCAACAACAAACAGGATTCATCACTTTAAATGAGAAGGAAGAGATGGGCAATCAATATAACAGATAAATAACACTAATACTGCCAGCAAGTGACTTCTTCTAATGGCCAGCTAATAAAAAAAACATTGGTGACAGAAGATCTTAAAATTAATAAATCAAGTAAACTTTACAGACATGTTAGTTAGGAAAATAAACAATAAAGGAACAACTACTCTTTCACAAGTAAAGACATCTTAGTAACACTTTATAACAAGGATACAAATCATTTACTTAAAGGACCAGGATTTATTGGCATCTATTGGTGATGTTTCAAATTGCATCTAACTGGACACCACTCACATCTGTATTTGACAACCTAGGAATGAGAACGGGCTGTGAACTGTGTAGGAGAAAGTAGAGTGGCTGCGAAAAAAAAACTCACGAAAAACATGAAAGGCCCTATCTACAGCCAGTGTTTGGTTTGTCCCTTCTGGGCTACTGTAGAAATATGGTGAACTCAAAGTAACCAGTGGCGTCTGTAAATAAAATAGCTCATTCTAAGGTAACAAGAACACAACAATTCCTATATTCAGGTGATTATACACTAATAAAAACATAACTATGAATATTATATTTAGTTTCTGCCAACAGAGCCTGAATGTCACACACTGGACCTTTAATTGATGTTTAACTTAACTAATGCTGACTCATGATGATTTAATTAAATTGCTGTTTCTCATTGACAAATGATCCAGTCACTATGACTTTATGTGATAAATTCACTCTGTTTACATTTCTATAAACTGATATCTGAAGGCAGGTACATGTAGCTTGCTGTACATGCTGATGCATATCAGGCTTATATGGACTCGGAGAAAATCACTCTAATGGCTTACCCCTACCTGATCTTCTAGAAGTTATAAATACATATATAAATACAGTTGCATAAATAGCCTAAATGTTTTCTGTTCTCCCTCCACCAACTACGGAGGGAAATATCTGGCTGCTTAGCTGCTAAATGCTGCACTACTGTGTGCTCACCAGCTAGTCACTAACTTTGTCTGTCTGCTGTTTGGTGCTGGGTTGGTAGCACTCAGTGGGTTTAACGGAGCTTTTTTGTGAAAACAGTTGTTTGTGCTGCTGGACACAAGGTCGATGAGAGCAAAACAGCAAAGTTACAGGGGGTAAAACCAAGCTGAGGGGAGCTGCAGAGCTGTGTGATTCTCTGGGGGTTTGTCACTATGAGCAATACCTTTTACATTCAACACAGTCATTCAGTCAAAAACATTGATTAGTGCAGCTTTAAATCTCCACAATGAAGACTAGTTCCTTTCCGAGTATCTCTTTTCTCATGTTTTAATATGTAAGCTGTATTTTAATGTTATATTTATAATTGCAATATAATTGGTAACCACAACTGCTATATAAATTGAATAAAAAGCACAATATTTCCTTCTGAGATGTATTGTTGTATATAAACTACATTTTCAAAAAGTACAGAGCAGTGACTGCAATGCAAACTTAGTTCTTGTCCATTATTTTTACCAAACAATGTGTGTAAAAGCACAAGATTGTTTGGGAGCTGTTAAAAACACCACATATTCTCCCCAATCTCATGCCTCAGAAACAGAGGCGGATCTAGAGAGGTGGTATTAAAAATGCCTGGCTAAGATGCCACCTAGTTTGTTGTCAAATGCTGTTGAATTTAACACATTCATTTAGAATCATTTTGAAAATAACCTGTTAGAAACTGAAAATGAACTTAATGATCTGTTATGGTCACATTTTGGAATAAGTCATTTCAATATCATCATTTGTGGGCTTTTCAAGGCATATTGATGTATGTGATATTTCTCCATGTCACCCTCTTGCCACAGCATGAATATTTCTCTAGACCTGCCCCTGAAGATACCCCCACCATCCTTTCTTGCCCAAGTTAGATTGAGCCAGCAGACGATTAGCGTAGCTTAGCATAAAACTGAAAGCAGGGGTAAACTTTTGTTTTTTGTATGGATTAAACAAATAAAATATAATGTGTTAATGAATGAGCTATACAGGTGCTGGTAAGCAGATTCTTTTATCTTTGGACAAAACCAAGCAAGCTGTTTTTCTCAGTCTTTATGGGAAGCAAAGCCAGTCTCCTGGCTGTAGTCTCATATTTACTGTACAGACATGAGAGCAGTATCTCCTCATCTAACTCTTGGTAAGACAGCGCAGAAGTATTTCCCAAAATGTCAATTTATTTTTAATGTAAGACCTCAAAGGAATGAGTCATTTTCTGGTTATTTGATATTATTTTGGCAGGCTTATTTGTAGTTTTCAGAACTGGCCACTTATTTTGATGTCTGCTGACGAGCAGTAATTTGTCACTATGTGAAAGGAGAAACATGTAGATATATTCATCTTATTCATGTATCTGACCTACATCACATTGCATTTAAAATGTTCAGTCATCCAGTGACACAAGTCAAACTGTTCTTTATCTCCTCAATTTAATGTGACTGAGGACATTTACAGGACTAAAGAAAATATTAACTTTCCCAAACATGAGCAGGGATCCCATTCTGAAATAAGTTTTTCACTCTGACCTTTTGGCATTGTGTCAAAGGTAACCATGGGCTGAGAGAGTCATACAAAAATAAAAGCATAAAAAATATGATTATTTTAGAGATTTGGGGAGACATTGAAAAGAAAGCAGTTTTCTTCCACACATTCTTTTTATTTGTAAATAATAAAAATGAACTTTTTTTTAAATATAAAACATACACATCATTTGAGCCACATCTGTTATACAAACAAGAAATGTTGCAGTGAATGCTTTACTTTTTTCTAATTTTCTTTTTGTTTCAGTGGAACACAGAAGTTGTAAACAATCAGCAATTTTTTTTCCTGTTAATACTGACAAAGAAAAAAACAAAAAGGAAAACCAGCTTCACCGGACGATGAAAATAAAAGTCAACTCTTCTGAGAGTGGGACTGATCATGGTTCAGACATTGGGTTTGAAGTGTTCAGATGCCAAGTTTTAGAATACACCTGTAGTTTTCGCGGCCATGTTTGTGGCCCAAGTCCGTCGCCTTGTGTTGTCCCACTGCATGGTCCCTAATGACATATTAATCGCTCCTCTTTATCAGACTTGGCCCCTTTGCAAATATCACCGAACCCAATGAAAACCCAGTGAATGGCTGTTGAGTATTTACAGTGTATGACTCTCTGTGCATCTGCATTTATTCTTTATATAACTTAACAGTTCATGTGTTATCTGAAATCATTATGTTGAAACATAATTCATATTTCCATATAAGTGAATCTGATTTGTACATATTTATTCATACATCATCTCAGCCCCTTGGAGGTATACTATGATGTGGATTAACAGTAAGAGGGCTGTGAGGTCTGCTCAGTACTACTGTACAGTACAGTACATCTTCCAGAGGGTCGAGGAAAGACATCAACGTAATCTTGGGATTTAGTTTGAGAGACATTCAGCACCGGACTGAGGGACGTGGAATAGACTGCAGTTGAGTTCAAATGTCTTTGCGTAATGGGAATGGCTTCGGTTTCTTGGTTTGATCTCTTTAATATTCAAGTACGAGCAAACTGTACAACTGCATGCAACATACAAGCGGCCCTACAGTATGTGGAACTAACACACGTATCTAGTTCAGTATCTTTTTTTCTGTATCTGTTTCGTTTTACAAAAAAATGTGCATGCAGCTTGGAACAGGTTCCAAAGTCATGCTGGCCCCGCCTTCTTCCTGGTGGGAGGAGTCTGCGGGCCGAACAGAGGATGAGCATTGGTGTTGGTGTCCCGACAGATCAGTCTGATTGGTTACTTTCACATTCACAGAGATGCACAAGGGAAACTGTGAGCGATTCTTCTTTTCTGTTTGTTTGTCTGTTTCCTAATACCTAGACAAAGAAATGAACCGAACCAGTGACGGGATTGTTTCTTTTTTTCTCCTTTTTTTAACTACATGTTTTCTTCAAAAAGTTAAACTTTTTGTTGTAAAAAAATCAAGCTCTTGTGCTTGTGTTTAAATTTCAAAAGAATGTAAACTAAGGGTTGGATAGAAACCTGAAACGTGCTGGGGCGAGGGAATGCACTCCCGAAAAATGTGAAAAATTAGACCTAGGTCCTATCTTGCTCTTGCTCTTTACTTTTTTTTTAACTTTTTTACAGTGATGTTGTACCCTTGTGATATTTCAAAGTGACATAAATTTCATTTATTGGTCAACCTCCTGGGAGGCCTAATATACATCTATACAAAGACAACTGGCCTGGACATTTGCCAGTGGTGGAACAAGGAAAACAACGCTGCACGCTAATCTCACTGTCAAGTGTAAAAATCGAAGCTGTGGCATCATCACCAGCCCCCCGCCCCCCCACCCTGCATAACACTTGCAGACATTTAATAGTTTTTATATCCTTTTTTTATCTCTTGTGTTTAGTTTTTTTTCTCTCCATGCACACACCAGACTGACAACATTATCATGAGCATTTTACGCACTGTAAAAACATTTTGTGCCAGTAGTAACAAAGGGAAAGAAATGAACGACAAAGCAAACACGCTAAAACAGTGTGGCTTCAGAGCAGCCATGGTAAACATATTGAAAAGAGGATTTTTTTCGACAGAGAGAGGGACCAGTGATGCGGCTCCAAGGTCTAGGCACCAGAAGAAGGCCCTGTGCTTCCAGACTGAATACCCACACGGGGGCACCCTGCCTGGGGGGGGTGGGAGGGGGCTGGGCAGGAGTGCCGGCAGTCTGTTGGGGTTCTGGAGGAGGCCACTGCAGAGAGGACTGCGCCACCTGCAGGTATGGAGGGTGATTACCTCTGTCTCGAGTCCATACATTCCGATGCTTACGTACATTTCTTTGCTATTATTGATTCAGTTAAAAACCACCCTGCTTCATATGATTCTCTGACACCTTATCGCCTCCCGTCTCGAGAGCTACTGCTTGTTGTCTGTCGGCAGCCCTGCTTCTTCAGCATACACAGAGAAAAACGATGAGATTTTTCTTTGAATGGATATGAAACACTGAAATGTGGCGCTCCCTACAACAGACAAAATTAACCGCGACAGAAGTGATTGTCAGATCTCAACAAAGCTTTCTCGTTGTGACTGTTTCTGATTGTTGTTGTTCTACGTTTCCGCCATCTTTTTTTAGTTTGTTTGTTTCTCTCTACAGTATGTTTCATGAGTCTGTTTCTCGTCGAGCGGCGTAGAGCGGTTGGTCCACTAGGATCGGACCCCGGGAGGCCCGGAGGAACTGTCAAGTGACGACTGGGAAGCCCGCCGAGTCAGGGAGGCAAGCGTCGGATCCACCAAGGAGGACGGTGGGAACAGCTTGTACCAGCCAATGACTGTGCTTGATAAGTCCAGTTCCTCCAATAGGATTTGTGCAACCCCCATGAAGCTTTTATGGTCCATGCGGCCGTAGTCCCCCCATACAATCACCTGAAGGGAAATCGTTTTCTGTCAAATTACACAGCAGTCTAGTTCCTCGTGCTAAAACATTATTTTTTTTATCAGAATAGATTTGGAAAAAAGCATTTAACTTTGTGATGAAGAGAAATATATCTTCAGCTCACCTGTAAGACTTTACCCTGTGGGCTTTCCTCGAATAGCAGTGCTTGCTGGTACAGTGGGTCAAGTGTTTTCCGTGCAATCTTGGTTTTCTTTTTGGCTACGTACGCTCCATTATTCAGCAGATAGACCTTGACATATGGAGCTGAAGGCAACAAAAAAAAACATTATTGAGGAACGCAGCGACTCGTCAATATAACCTAGATCAGATCTCACAGCTGGTTCTATCTTTATAGGAAGCTTCAGCTGGGTGTATCTACTGGATTTCCCTGCATGCAGCGTGTATTTCATATCATAATGTGAGGAGTGTACGAGTGATGTTTTGAGCGGGAGGGAGGGGGGATGTAGTCGCTCTTTGGTATCTCAAGGTCAGTCAGGTTCTCACCAGGGAGGGATTTGGATCCTGGCTTTTGTACGAGTCCCCGAGCTCTGATGACCTCCACCTCCAGCTGACCCTTTTTCTCCATCATACCAATCTGGATGTCACCTGGGAAACGCAGAAAAGTGAAAAGATGACACACCAGTAAGGCATCAATGACGGAGAGTCCTGCAGAGCTAGAGCAAGATGAACATGCAGTCAGAAAAAATAAAGGGTTTGTAGCAATGACTGTACACTCATAAAATATATGACATGAGACCTTTTATCAGCACTAATGAGAGCAACATGTTTTGCTCAGCAATTCATCAGCTACAAAGGGTTAATTATGTGAAAACAACTAATTCCTTTAATTAATTCCTGATATGGACACCTCAAAGGGCATTATCCTGCTTATACCATGGTTATAATATTTTATGTTATACTATATTATGATAGTCAGTATCTTACCTATGGCAGGGGTAGCCAGAGTTTGCCTTCCCACTAACTGAGCTGGTCCCAGGCCATCCAGGAAGTCACTGAACTGACTGCTGGCACCCAGATTCACTCCAGAGAACTTCAGACTAACAAAGAAAAACACACAAGCATGAGTTAATTATGACAAACTTGACAAATATCACCCACCAAAATCAACTTAAAGACAGAGGAGATTCTTTGAAGGATAAAAGCAGTTGTTGTCTCTCTCCTACATTACTCTCGCTGTCTCTACACAGTCAGCATACTTTAAGACTTAAGAGGTTATTTTGCCGCCTTCAGGAGAGTCCATTTGCTGCCAGTCATTATTTACAGCACGAAAAACATAGCCAGAATTGCCCAAGCGAAATAATCCATCACAGAAAACAAAGGCCTTAATTTGATTCAGTCAGAGTTTGTGTTTTATCATCACCTCGCTGAGCTGAGTTTATTACAGTGTGCTCATTGTATTACACTCTGTTTACTGTCAGTCACCTGACACATACCTGCACGTATGGAAATGTCAGCCTGGATATAATCACTCAGGACATGTTGGCATACAAACTTTACTGTCACACCCACGTCATTTTAATAATTGAGGTTTAGTTTGGGGGGACAGAAGTTAATTATAAGACACAGTAGCTTTAACAGCCATCTGCCAATTGAAAAGCAAAGAAAAATAAAATATAATAATAATAATAATATATAAACTCTGCAGTCTGGTGGAAATGTGAGATGGACATAGACAGAAATCAGTGGACCATCATTTGCCATTCCCCTTGAAGAGAGGAAGAAAATTATAAAGGAGGAAGATGTAGAGAGTGTGCAGATGGTTGGTAGAAAGTGATGAGAACTGAAAGTGTGTGGTTTACTGACTTTCCCTCAGAGTTGTAGCTGTTCATGCTGCCATTGTTGGACTCTCTGCTGGGCTGTCGACTCATGTTCCTGGTCAGCTCTACTGCCATGCCGGTCTCTGTGCTCCGTTGGATGGGTGCCCCCTTCTCCTTCTTACTCTTCCCCTCTGCATGAAGGAAGAGGAGAGACAGGAAAAATCATAATATTGCAATCAGAGATGCTCTTCAATCTTACCTCAATAAGCATTATAAGCAGAAAGGCAAACATAAAGTAAAGCTGGATAAGAAGAAGAATACCACCCCCAAGTCTGTATGCTCTTATGCTATGGAACTGAAAATTCAATATTATGAGAAAATGAGACACAACATCCACAACTCTTTCTCCTTTGCTGTTGTAGCCAAATTGATTTAAAGGAGGCCAGTAGGTCTTCCAGCTCTGGGCTGAGCATTTTGTGCTTGTCAAAGTGTGACTGACTCGCACAGCAATCAGCTTGTCGTGCTAACCTCAGCACATGTTACTAATGGTGTATTAAAAGTTTGGCACAAACACACAAACCTTTACAGCCCTAGAAGTCAGGCAAGCTGTTTCCACCTGTTTCCAGTCTTTGTGCAAAGCTAAATTAACCGGCTGCTGGCACCAGCTTCATATTCACCGTACTGACATGAGAGTGGTGCCAATCTAATCTCTGCAAGAAAGGAAATTAGCATATTTCCAAAAATGTTGAACTTTTCCTTCAAACCGATGCCGAAGTGTTTTACTTAATGTAGAATAGAAAATCACAAAGGATTAAGAGAACGGTTTCCTTTAACTCTTGTTGTGGTTAGGGAACAAGATACTCTGACTTCTAGTCACTAGTATAGGTCAAGCTGGCAAAGCAGTATTTATAATATAAGTATTTTAATTTAAAGAATTTTAAGTATTCTGAGAATATTTGAAAATTGGGAGGGTGTGTGTACCCCCAAATATTCAAAAATTGACACTGTTGATCTACATTTCCCATGGTGCAACTAAAAAGCATCTTTTGTTATATCTTTTGTCTCCCAGGCTTTTGGTTATGGATTTATAGTCTCCAATTCCAAACTGAAAAAATAACCCCAATCACATCATCAGAGTTATTTTTTCAGACCTTGTAAAGCTCCTCTAGAGCCACAAAAGATATTATACCACTTTTTCCACAGGCTGAGCAGTTCTACACTGAAACAAAACTTATCTACTGAACTTTATCTGAACTGAACATTTTCACAAAATGTTTCTTTTAGATCAAGAGAAATCACAATGTATCAGGATTAAGAGAAAGACTCCCTTTAACCCACATTGTGGTTAGGAAACAAAAGGACATTACAGATAAATGGACTAACTTCCGGAGCACATTTATCAATGGGGTAAAGCCTTTTTCATATGAAACAATTCACCAGTGGAAAGAAAAAGTAGAAAATCTCAAGATCCAGATCAGATCCAGTTAAGGGCTCTGTGATGTGTCCGTCTGAAGCACGGCCAGAGTCCAACCCATGCCCTTCTGAATCTGCTAATCAGTGGTACACAGGAAATTGTTGGGCAGAAAAACAAATCAGACAACACTGCGTGGCATCTTGGACTGGGGTGCGTCCACCTTCTGACTCATAATATTGGCACGGTTAAAAGAGAAATATGTAGCTGCATTTTTGAGCCTATCATCATCCCTTGCTGCTGAGCATTAGATACATTCTTACATCTAGCAGGTGGGGGGTCAACAGCATTTACCTAGCCTGAGCAATATATAACCTACCATATAATGTTAAGTAATTATTATCTTGTAATCACGCTAAAATCCTACAATGTAAAAACTAAAAGTCTTACCTGCCTTTATTCTCACCCATCATGAACAGGAACGATTTTTCAAATTAAGGTTGATCTCTGCGCTAACTCTACCTTCTCTCTTCTCTCCACATCAGGGGGGGGGGGGGCGAGAGACCCCCTTAGGCCCTGTGTTCTCTAATAGCCTTTTATGTCCGCTACAAAAAACAGAGTTTGGCTTTCATCATGAGTCTTACCCTGCCCCTGTATTAAGAGTGCATGCTTGACCAGACTGTGTTGTGTGACTGGGAGCAGAGCTACAAGCGGCTCTCAGCTGCCCACGATGTTCTGAAACTCTCCGAAACATATTTGTTTGTCTTTGTAAAGAGCACTGGGGCAGCAGAGGTTTGTCTTTCATTGAACAAAAGGACAATTTGTGGCGCTTCTGTACAGTCTGTTCCTCAGGACAAATCTTTGTCTCTATGTGAAACAGTCTCATCAGTCTGTGAAATAAGTACAGAGACACAGATTGCATGTTGTGCCCTATTCTGAAAACTAAAGGCATGTAAATCTCTGTGGAGGCTCTGTGTTTTAGTGAGAGTTTGCAACATGCCTATCAAAAATCAACCTGAATCAACCTCCCCATTGTCCAGTTACTGTGTTATGAGTTGTTGCTCCAACACCTGTAACTATGGATGTGCAATGTCTGCTTTAGTTGCCACACTGAAAATGCCCAAATGTATTATTCTCCAAGTGTGGCATTTCCATAAAGTTGGGGGACTGACAAGAGACGTATTAAAAAACAGACTGCCAAACAAAAAGGCTGAAATATCCAGATTTTTAGTCCCTGTTATGGGTCTTAAGCACTAAAAACACACCTCCCATAATGCAACTTGATACCCTCTCTGCCTGGTAAACATCCACTTAAATTCCACGTAGCCTATTTGTAACACAGGTTACCTTTAAAACATTTTTTTTTTAAAAGTCCCAAAGTCCAAATAGAGATAACATTAATGACATCGCTATGACATCATCAGGTCAGACGGCAGCTGTTGACAGCTGTTTTCACAAGCTGAGTAGCGTTTGCCACGATGACTTAACTTAAATAGGTGGAGGGGTCCTTTAAGTGAGCATTCCATTACTCCACCATAAGAAAATAATACAGTAACTGGACAAAACATTTTGCTCTATTCCTCAATGAAATGCTTAGGTAATGGTAAGGTTTAGGTAGGTGACAAAGCACTATTTAAATGTGTCTGTGATTAGGTTTGGTGAAGGTTAGAGCATTTTACAAAATAAAACTCTAGACTCGACTACACTGAGAGCTGAAGCTCAACACCCATCACTCCACACCTACACACCTTTACTTTCTATAGTGTCAAATGACAGTATTGTTGTGTCTCTCCTCCGCTACACCCAAAACATCTCAACTGTCCCAACAGCAACTCTAGAAGTTGATGAGGTCTACTCCATTGCTAAGCAGGTGGGTTGTTTCTATCTACCTGTGATATCGGTGTTAATAACTCTTAATAAGTGAAGAAGGGGCCTTTTAGACATGTCTTTGGCTGAATCTGGCTCACAGGTAGTAGTTTGAAACCCCTGCTGTAAATGGATGTAGCATGTGTGACATGACCCTATTATTTTTAATTGTCACTGAGACTAATGTAGCCCCTGCAGCCCTGACACCACCACAGTATCAGGGACATTTACCATCCAATAGATGAAATAATATTCAGTATCCATCATATTTTTGGGAGGCAATTCTCATCACACATAACCAGTGGGATATACAGTCTCTGCTGAACATTTTAGGGTTGCCATGGCAACTCACCAGGGCCACTGATCTGTGAAGTGCTGCGGCTGCGACGATTGCCAACGATGGCTACCACCCGCGCACTGAGGCTGGAGCGCCTCTTCTTGCTGCCGCCGCCCACCGTGCCCAGCGCTGTGTCTGATTGGCTGCCGTCTGTGCGCTCCTGGGTGTAGATCTCTCCGCTCACACTGGAGCTCTTCAGCATGCTGCGGCCCACCGATCGTAACTGCCGACTGGGGAGAGAAATCACCCTATGACACTGGTGTGATGGGGGGGAGGGGGGTGTTACTAAGGTCTCTGTAACTCCCTCTATACTGTACCTTCATTTTAGAAGAACACAGACACAGCATGGAGGACAAGAAGTGGTGGATAATGACGTTTCAAACTGACTGTGGTGGAGGAGTGCTGTCTAATCAAACAGCATGTGACTCAAATAACAGATGAGTAAACATCTGGGATCCCAAATAAAGCAAATGATGATGACAGACATATACTCATATCTAAAATTGAAACATTAGTGTTTGATGTTAAGATCTCAAGAATCTGGTTAAAATGGGATCAAATAAGATAAAATAAAATTATAGCAGTCCAAAGCTGACATTCACATCATGCATTAAAGTTCAGTCTTCTCAAACCAGCCACTACACGTGGGCAGAAGCTGCCCAGCACTCGATGCTGCCTCCTAGGGGTTCGGAGGAGCCGTCGCATGTCCATCCCCTCAGAGGGGGTCAAAGTGCTGCACGAGAGCCCAGCTACGCTTCCTCTATCGCCCACAGACTGCACTCCCAGTGGGCCACGGACAGCCACAGTCCAGTGGCCCAGGGGAGCCAGGGAACAACTGGGAAGGGGGAGGGTGGTTTGAGGCCTCTCCACCGCCCCCTGTAAGGGGGATTAGGGAAGGGCGTGCAGCAGAAGGAGAGGATGGGAGGGGAGGACCCAGGTCTGGAGAATGGACGGGGGTCCTGGCAGTCACAGCACAGGATGCATGCAAGGAGGGATCTGAGACATGCAGAGAGGATCGCACAAACATCCACAGTCACAGGCACAGAAAACAAGGGCCAAATATAACAAAAAGGACACATAATGTTGCGCAAAGTGCTAATTTATATGCATTTATGTACAGTGTGTGATATATTTGTAACATAGCCTATACAAAATATTAATTCTTTTTGGCTGAAAATCTTGTGATTTGTGTGGGTTGCTGTAACTACTACTGTCATTGAAAAAATGTATATCAGCAGGATATTGTTTTATTCTGAAAGGTGAAATATAACATTTTTATCCAACAACAAGTGATACTGATATGCAAACAAATGCAATGACAAGAAGGCAAGACATTTGAGGATTAACTGGAGGAGCTAACATGATCAGCATCCAATTAATTATTTAAAATTGAGAAGGAGCAGTTTATCAAACATATAGGAATATCAAGAAAGGGGAAACAGCTGAGGGTTCAATGTGTCAATGCAACCTCAGGAATCCTTTCCTCTGTATGTACTCAGTCACTTCCACAACCTATCATCACACTGGCCTGCAGTAGATGTGAGAGTATCCACTGAATACAGAGACCACTCTGAATGAAAACTGACCTGAGGCCAGCCATCCTTGTTCATCACTAGATTACTAATTCATCCCCCGTCTCTCTAAAAACTGAGTTATAGATAAGCTACATTACAGGTCTTCAAAAATAGACTACTGACCAGTTTTCATGAATGGTCCCTGACTCCATTGTCTGCTTTTTTGCATCCGGACTTGTGTTTTCACTGCTTGTCTGATCACAGCCCTAGAACACAGACACATGCTCGCCTCTGCCTAAGAACTGATATAAGCCTCTGCACAGCCAGAGGAGCGCTGTTTATTTCATGCTCCTGCATCCATTTGATGTGATCTTTGTTATTGTTATGTAAATACTCCATGTTATGTAAATACTCCATCTGTATGTAATGTAGGCATATTAACCTCATATGAACAATTGGAATTGTTTATATGAGGTATACATTTTACCAATATATCTATAACACCTCTTTTGTAAAGATTGTGAAGGATAGAGATTCCCTCACATGCTTTTCTTTAGTTGATCACTTGATTCTGTTTATATATATCTGTACAGCTTTTTGTCTTTTATATTTGTTCTCTCTCTGTAATCTTCAGCCCAAGTGTACACTATCTGACCAGAAGTATGTGGACACACCTATCCGCATACTTTTCTGTCTGGGTTGTTTTTCATGGTTTGGGCCAGACCTTTAGTTCCAATTAAAGGGGAATCTTAAGGCTACAACAAAAGACAAAAATGGTTAAACAACTGTCTGCTTCCAACTTTGTGGCAACGGTTTGGAGAAGGCCACTTCCTGTTTCAGCATGATAATGTCCCCGTGTACAAAGCCAGTTTGGTGTTGGAGAACCTGACTGGCCTGCACAGAGTCCTGACCTCAACCCCATCCAACACCTTTAAGAATGAAGTGGAACCAGCCTGGTCCCAACGCCCAACCTCAGTGGCTGACCTCGATAATGCTCTTTTGGCTGAATGGGAGCCACTCCCTGCAGCCAGGTACCAACATCAGGTCAGAAACAAGGCGTTCGCACATGGGTATAGCAATTTATAAGATTTATTATATTTCTGAGTGTCCATATACTTTTGGCCATATGTTAATGATAGTGCTTGTTTTTTAAGACTGGGAAATGCTCAATAAATAAGAAAATCAATTTTCTCTCTCTCACCTCCGACTTTAGAAAGTGTGTCAAAGGCCGTGGGGCTGTGCTTTTATAACGCTCTGTTTGGATTGATCTGTGGTAAGGCCATAAAGAACGGGGCCCTCTCTCCTCCTCCCAGACCTCAATACATTAGCCAGCTAATAAGCTGCACTACATCACCACCTGGCCCACTGAGGACCACTGGGATAGGGTCATTTGTCCATGTCAGCACACTGCTACTGGTCAGCCGGGGATGTGTGTGTGTGTGCGTTTGTGTGGGAGTGTGTGGTCACATGAAGAGAACGAAAATGATCTATTTATTTCAGCTCAGTTGGACTGGAGAACTTTTTAGTTTAGGTGTTATTTCATTTTGATTTTTATAGTTTTATCTTTTTCTTAGCAATATTTTGGAGGTGTGTGCTTTTAAATTTCACATTTATTTATATATTCCTTAACAAATATAAAGGTGGGATGTCTTCAGGTTTGCAATTTTATCATTGTCATTTTATGCTGCATTAACAAAAAGATTAAGCTGAACATTATTCATGCACATAGTAATGAGTAATACATAAATAAGAGTATTGTTACTCAGTTATAATTTAATTTCAGCTCAATTAATACTCATTGAAGATCCTATCCAGACATGTATTAAGACATCTACAAATAATCTGCTTGGAACAATAATGTGTTTCTGATATGAAAAAAAGGCTACTTTTCCAAATTTAAATCTTAGTCATATACTCCTTCAACCTCATTAAAAATTCCACAATCTATAAATATGCAAATTGAGTTTTCCTGCTGGACACAAGATGTCTCCTCCTTCACTGTAAAGTCCATTCTCAGTGGAGAGTGGTGCACTGGTGGCTCACACTGTACAAGTTGCATACTGGACCAGGGTTTGTGAAAAAGCACTGACTGAGACACTGGGTTCAAAATGTACTCACATTCCATTCAACCAGAAATCCCCATGCGACAAAGCTAACTGCCTCAAAAATAAGCAAGGACGACATCCTTCAGCTGGAAGACTAACCCTGTTTTAGTGAGTATCCATCCCTCATGCTGTATCACTACAAGTTGAAGCTGACCTCCCTTCGGAAGTTGCAAGCAAAAAGAAAAGAACTTCCCTTCAGAGATCAATAATTGTCTATAATTGCAACCATTAAAACGTTTCCCTAGTGCGCTGTTGTCTTAAATGAACGGGGATTCAGGGATTCTATCTTGGGGATCCAGACCTGGTTGTACAGCACGAAGATGGATCGTCTGCCATCATCAGTGAATTCACCATTTGGGATCTATTGATCTTTACCTGGACTCTCTTGTGTCTCCAGCTACAGTGTGTCTCCTGCGCTTCAACTCCTCAGAGAAGCGTCTCTTTCCCGCCGACCTCCTCCTATCCTCCTCTCCATTCACTCCCCACGAGATCCTCCTGTCCTTCTTCTCCTCCTCTAACGACTTGGATCTGAGACCAGTTTGTTTGGATATCCACCGTTCATTGTGTGTACCCGTATGTTTGTTTGTGTGTGTGCGGGGAAAGAGGACATGCAGAGGACAGAAACATGCAGCAGTTGGCATGCAGAAATAAAACAGAAAAGGCACACAGTGATTAGCATGCATGCAACACACCATTTAACACTGAGGCTTATTTCAGAAAGGGTGAACTGACTGAAATCCACAACAGCCATAAGATATAAACATATGACCAATGGCCAGGGAGGACTGACCTGAGTCGTCCCCCGGGTCTTTCTGATTGGATAGACATGTAGCTGGTGCTACTGAGGCGGGAGGCACTGCTGGCACGGGAGAGGGCCGACACATCGCTCATATCGCTGTCGGACGATCTGGCCGACATGTTGTCACTGCTACGCCTCTGCTCTGCATACATCTGCAGACAGAGATGAAGATAGTTGAAAAATAGACATATATGTATAATTTAGGAGGTGGAGGAAGGGATCTGAAGAATGACTGGAAAACACGGATGCTGACCTCCCGTTTGGTCTTGAGGTCCGTCTCAGGGTCGTGGGAGGCTGAAGACTGGCAGGAATGTACTTTTATCTGCAGCTTTCGGGCTCGCTCCTCTACTGCGAGGGCTGAGACAGAAGAGACGAAGAAAGAGTAAGATATAAAGAATATCGACAAAGAAAGAACAACAAAAAAAAGCAGAACCATTGGCATGTTCTCAGTAAGGGATTACAGGGAGTCGGCTGGGGATGCAGGATCTGGTTTCTGACACTAGAGGGTGCATGATGTGCACTGATAGCACATCAAGTGATAGATTCTACAGGGGTCGGAAACCTCACAACCTGGGAAAAATTATTAGCTGGTTTGCCAAACTGTAAAGAAAAATTATATAGGGATGTTAAACTGACAACTACGCCTGCAATTGATTGTACATTAAGATTCTCTGTACATTAAACCCCACCCATCTGGCAGCTATGTAGGCTAAAACAAACAATATATAATATTTTAAAATGTTGTTTGACCCAGGACTGCTGAGAAAGGTTTGGGGATAGAGTGATCTGTATGTTTATGAGGCAGTAAAGAATCATCTAATAGTAGATACACTGAATTGATACACTTTTCTAGATCGCTTCAATTGTTAGTTTTTTTCTTTTTTTTTAAAGTCTCAGCTCTCTACCAGGAAAACCAAATGTAACGTTTCTGTGACTAACACAGCAATAGAATTACTATTTGCCAACGTGACCCCTCACCCATGACTTGCCAACTTCTGAAACCAAACCCACATCCTGGCCTTCAACATACCTTGCTCAATGCTGCTGCTTTTTGCAGGGAGCTGAGGCAGCTGCCTGCCCCTGCGACCTGATGAGGGAGTCCCCGTTGGACAGGGGCTGCCATGAGGGTGGGCTCTGAGAGATAAAGACACAAGGATGTAGGAAAGGATATTACTATTACGGTATTCATCACTAATTAAAGTGAAGCCCAATACTGAAACACAGAGACAATTAGCTGATGGCCGGTATAAAAGGTAAGAGGTCACGTTAGGAGGGGAATGGATCAGAGGAGACGTAAAGGAAGTGGCACTGAGTGTGTTTACAGACAGTATGCGCAGTATCTCAGTATTTCTATCTATCCCAGTCATTGTATTATGTTGAGATGGTACATTTATACAGTAAACTTTACTATCCACAGCTTCTTACCTGATGGTAGCCCAATTTACACAAACTACATAAACCACTATTACATGGATATCTAAACTCTTGGGATTGAGCTATAATGTTATTTTGACTTCTTGTGACATAACATTTACATGTGGCACATGTGCATACAGTATTACCACACTCGGTGAAACAGAGAGGAAGTCAGCACACAGGGGAGTAGAGGCATAGTGCTGGCAGTAGCATGCACCTGTCTAGCCGTGGCGAGTTTGGGCAGGACCCAGCCAGGGTTGTCTGGCCAAAGGGCCTCAACGGGCCCCCTCTCCCCCTACTGCCCCTCAGGATAGAGGTGGGCTGGATACGACTGCCATCAGCAAATAAAAAGAAATGAAAATACAAAACCTTATAAATGCAGAAAAATTAAAACAAATGAAAACAATAAAACATATGTAACTTATGGCGAGGCTCTGTGTGAAATGCTGGTCCATAATGAAAATAGTGCGTAGGCAGTGTACACCGGGCGCTAAATAATCATTACTCAAATACAGCTGGTGCACTCTAGACCAATATACAAGGAAATATTTTCTTAATTTTCTAAGTGCATTGGCTAAGCTGTGATAAATACAGTAGTTATATTTTCTTAAGTAAAATAGTACTATGCTATAGTATACTGTAGGTCAGGAGTTTTTCAAAGTGTGAGGCAGGCATCCCCAGGGGGTCTCAGTTTCAAGGGAGGCTCAGCGAATGGAAGTGAACAAATATTACATTAGTTATCTAAAGGAGATCACATAGAATAGCCTAAGTGTGTGATCTGGTTAAAGAGATGCAGCAGTTTTGGGGAATTGTACTGTTTATCCCACTTCACCAGTCAGAAATTAATAAATGCCTTAAGAAAGACCTTCCTTTATGTATTTGGTGTAGTCTAAAGTCATATTAAACAGCCATGTAAGGCTAATGTCTATGGGATCCAATAACATAATCATGATCACATAGGTATCTATCAAGTGAGAGTAACTAAGCAAATAAACTAAAGAGGAATGAGGGGGCACCTTTTTCCATGCTTTGTCTGGGGGGGGGGGGTCACAGTCTTTTAAAACCCCTGCTATAGGTGATCTACCAACCAGCACCTCTAAAGCTCACCAGTTAACATGTTATACCTCGTTTCTTATGGGGGCTATGTGTTCCTGCACTTGGCCCAAAACCAGCACCCATAAAACCAGAAATGAACACCATAATGTGTTAATCAGATTTTTACCTTTGGAAAAAGCGGACTAGCTGTCTCTAGGGATCATGCTAAGCTAACCTGCAAGCTGTAGCTTAGAGTTTTTGAAGTTAATGCAGTTTAATTCCAATCATATAAACCAGCCATCACAACAGTTAAGCACCTAGAAACCCACACAGTGTCAGCAAACTTCCATTAATATGGAAAAAAACAGTCTTCTTAAGAGTAAAAATCAAATCAGCTAAAGTGTTTCTGCATGGTGTGACGAGTGTTAGGGTTTTTTTGATTGTCAGCTAACATTAAAGGCTACGTACTGCGTGAGCCACGACTTAAAAGAAAAATCAACATTGCAGCTTTGACAACCAGTCACAGACGGTATCTTCCCTCTCGAGGACAAGAGAAGAAATAACAGTAATGAGAGGAGAATAAATAAGGTGAGTGAGTGAATGAATGAATGAATGAATGAATGAATGATCTTACCTGTCCCCCTCCAGGCTTTTTTTGCTGCCCCTTTGACAGTTTGGACTTGATGAATTGCTACACTGCCTGTTTTCAGCAAACAGCAACCACACAGAGAGAGAGAGAGAGAGAGAGAGAGAGAGAGAGAGAGAGAGAGAGAGAGGAGAGAAAGGAAGAAAAACAAACACGATATGGAGAATGATGACCCACAGAATGGCAAAACTGAATACTGACTGATGTGTTGGATATACTGTAAAAGGCTCAAAACTGAGACTTTGGTTTTTGAGGTTTGTAAAAGCAATATAGCTGAGAATTGCACATTCCGTGAACTTTTTTTCCCCACCAGCAACATTGTTACAGAAGAGAAAGCGCTTTCAAGCCAGAGAAGTGAGGAGATTCAAACAAGCGCTCAGCAGAAAGAGCAGGTGCAGCAGAATAAAAGAGGGATTACACAGTCTTAGACCACAAATATTAACAGGGAAAGGGAAAGAAACGGTGCTGATCACAAGATCTGTGCAGCGCTATCATCTACAGCTCTACAGGAGAGGCTTTGAAGTTACAAGCAGGGCAAGCAGAGCCGTAGCGTGGTGTTTTAAGAGGTGAGGACAGCAGGAGGGGGCAGGCCCGGTATACCTGTCTTCCTCAGGGGCCACGTGTTCTACTAAGATCCTGGGGCTTGGGGGAGTCTTGCGGGGCAAAGAGTTGGAGCACCTAGAGGGGCGGAAGGGTGGGAGCAGGAGCATCCCAAGGCAGGAACACCAGGAGAGTTTGTTAGTGAGTAAAGGAACAGTCAAGGCCTTGAAAGTGTAAAAGTTTTTTTTAAATATTACATCAGTCAAAAGATTCCCCCTGCCTCGACTTATCGTACATTTCAAATCATGTTGGAAATCTAAGAATTACCAGTAGCAGCGTCCCAGGGTTCGAATTCGACCTGTGGCCCTTTGCTGCGTGTCATCCCCTCTCTCTCTACCCCCCCGGTCCTGTCTATCTTCAGCTATCACTATCATAAAAGCAATAAAAGCCCCCCAAAAATGTGTGGTTTCTGTTACGTTTGGACCAAGCCAGGCTAGCCGTTTCGCTCTGTTTCCTGTCTCTGTGCTAAGCTAAGTCTACAGAATGTTGGCTGTAGCTTGATGTTCACTGTACAAACATGAGAATGGTATCGATCTTCTGATTTAACTCTCAGGAAAACAATTGATAAGTGAAAACTGCACTCCGCTAACCGTTCAGGGATTCACACGAATATGTTGGCTCCATAACCTTGTCTCTCAGTATTTAGAGCACCTCTGCTCTGTGCTGAACACTACTGACTTGTTTTCTGTCTTAAAGATATTTCAAAGATTCCAAATTCCTACACCAGGTAGTTTTTTTTTTTTTTTTTTAATGAAAGTGTGCAATGGTAAATTCATTCATGTATGAAAGGGACACATGACATGAACTGGAGTGAAGACATGCAGCATCCTAAACCCAAAATGTTGGATGATTGAAACGTGCAGTCTAGAAAAACTGATTTGAAAGCTGTCACTGAAGACCATTTCAGCAGTCTTTGATCATTATTTCTGTATTCATCTTTTAAATAAAATAAAAGAATCTTGTGCAAATTAAATTCACTCGATTCATGATCTGCAATCAAAATCTTCTTTTTATACCTGTCTCTGTCAGGGGAGTGAAAGTTGGTGTCTGGTCTCAGACAAGTGGTGCTGGCACTCCTCACTCTGTCCAACGATGTCTGCAGGTCGCTGCACCGCCACAACATGGCAGCAGAGAGAGACAGAAAGGAGAGAAAGAAACAGAGATGGAGACAAGGTGTACAAGGACAGAGGATGCAAGCAGAGGTGTCAGGGAGAAGAGGTTGTGAATAATGCAAGAGAACAAAAGGCCGATGAGTAGGAGGCAGACAAAAGAAAACAGAGAAAGTGAGAAAAAGGAAGATAATGTGAAGTAAAGTTAAGAAAAAGGGAGCAGAAAGGAGGTAGAGGTAAGGAGGGAGAGACAAAGAGAGAATAAGGAAGGCCATCAGACAGTGTAGTAACATGTAATGGCTCTGGTGCTGTATCTCCATTTATCATAGCCAGTCATTCCTCGCGGCCATACACTGTGAGACCACTCAGATGGAAGGTTGGTGAGTTGCCATGGGAACCAGGTCTAAGTGGGAGAGGGGACTGCTGGTTAAGTGTGTGAGGGGGTGAATGAGTGAGGAGGAGAGGAGCAGCCAGCATCGCTCTGCGCTGCATACGCTCACAGCTGCATGTTTGTCACGTCATGCAGCTCTGTGGCAACAGTTAGTTTCAACAGATGGTTGGCTCCCTGCCATCGCATGACATTGCACATAATGTTTTCAGGCCAAACGCTTCACATGGACGGCAACAAGGGCTTAGGAGTTTGTTTAATGCTCTGCCAGTATGTGCTTTAAGCCTCTGCTATACGTTGTCAGACAAAAAAAAGGGAGAAAGACGAGGTTGTGGGCAGAGGAAGGACGAGGGAAGAGATGGTGCGTGAAGCGGGCATGTTCTTACCTAACAGTGACCTCATCAGTGAACCTGAGCACACGGTGTGTAAGGATGCTACGAGGCATGGTGCTGCCCCCTTCGTGCCTGTGGGGCGGCTTGCTCTTTAGGCATGCGGGGAGGGTGGAGCTGTGCGCCAGAGCCCCGCCCACGAGAGGCGGGGGGAAAGACCCGCGTGCAAAGGAAGGCAAAGGAAAACAAAAATGACACATGCAAGTGGCAGAAATGAGCAGAGAGAAAATATGTGGGGGCGGGGGGGAGAAAACACAAACTAAGCAGGCTTCTTGCAAATGAGCAGAAGACATTCACACTATCACACTATGGAGCAACATAAAATATGGTTTCCCTCTAAGCATCTCTCTACACAGTTTACGCTATAGCTTCGTAGAAAGGGAGGATTCTCAAAAAAGATGAGATTGGATAGCCTTAGATTAGAAGTGTGCCTGCTGCTGCGTGATGCCGGTGATCACTGGAAACACCACGCGCAGCATATTACTACATGAACACATGAGATGACCTGCATCCTGTCTGGGACCTCAGAGTGAGGAATTTATGACGTAAGAGTGTAGTGACAGTTACTCTTGTGCTCCCTGTGGATGGACCCCACACACATATATGGGGAGATTACATGTAATGGTGATTATATAACACAATCTACAGATCTAAAGCCGTGGAGGCAGCACGTGGCGAGGCTACAGTAGATCTATAAAACGTATAAAAGTGCCATTAAGAGGATTAGAGCAGAACAGAGAAATGGAGGAAATTGCTTATACAGGAGGGCTGTGTGTCCGGTGGTTATGTGGCCAGGAATGAGGCTTTACAGTAAATGTGACTGATGATTATGTGTAGAGAAAGTATGCCATGTATGTCCCAATATGCACTGTTATGATCTGGTACAATGACAATTATAATGCCAGGATCAACATCTAATAAGTACGTTCAAGGAGTATACTGGTGGTTTTGCACGTTTTAGCCTGTTAACTGCAAACTCACATATTCTTTACATTATGCTGAACATTTCCAGACCATTCAATAAGTTTTGGACTGATTTCCTGGCAGTCATTACTACGAGGTACTCCAGCAAATTAGTGTTGTGTTTCCCGAAAGTAATTTGTCAAGATATCAGGCATAGACCATATAGAAAACTCAATAACGGATGGAGACAGATTAAAAAGGAGAATAGTTTTGGATATATACTGCATATTGAAAGCTACACAATACCATGGTTTGAATGGGAAACTTGACTTTTCTCGTTTTCTTTAACTGTATTATCTTGTTTTTTGTTTTTTAGGCATCTGAGTCCTTTGAAAACATCATGTGCCTTCTTGCCTGAATGTACTGAAAAAGGAAATATTATATATAATATATATGAATTCCTCTGCACAGGTGGCCTGTCATGTGACTTTATCTGTCCACTCTAATCATGTGACTACTTACATCTGATCATCTGACTACTGCCAACATGTGTAAGAAAGGCAGCCATTTTGTATTTGCCTGGATGAAGGATGTCTGAAATGCACTTGCATGTTTTTAAACTGTAAAATATAGTAAATATTTGTGCAATATTAAAGGCTTTTTGTGACTTCCACTATCCTCTGAATGCCTCGGATTTCTCTATCTCCATAAAATAGTTTAAGACACATTTTGAAAATAATTGTTAAAATAGGTGCAGCAGAGGCCAAGATATCTTAAACTTTAGTCCCTACTGTGTGTCTAACTCCAAAAGCCTAGATCCTACGTTTCCCATAATGCTACTAGCATAATAATGCTAATGCTACTAGTTCTATTAACCCAGTTACCCAGGCTTTCTGTTCCAAATGCATAATGTGTAGTCCCCAAGCCCAAGCCAAGACACAGGAGACATTATAATGTACTTTACAAGCTGTGTGGTAGTCCCCATGTTTAGTAAATTGACGCTGACATTCTAGAAGCTCTGTGAGGCAGAGTGGTGTTTTGAGCTAAATGCTAACAATGGCAATATTAGTATGCTGATGCTCTGCAGGTATAATATTTACTGTGTTCACCATCACCAGCATGCTAGCCTGCTAATTAACACTAAACACAAAGTAGAGCTGAGGCTGATGGGAATGTCATTAGTTTTGCAGGTATTTGGTTAAAACCAAAGTTGGATAAAGTGACATTTTTATACAGTTTCTATAATGTTTCCTCATTGTTGCATTCTAATAACACAATATTCCAGACTTGAGATTCCATAGTTGCTTATGGTTTAGCTTGCACGTTTGATTATCCGATAACAGCAAAATCCAGATGGCAGAGCTCCCTTTACTGAACCAGTTACTTCCTGTTCTCAGCTGTTACCTAGAAAGTAGAAAATCAGTCTAAAACCTCTGATATGCTTTGGAAAATGTTCAGAGGTGACATAAAGTATATGTGATTTGTAGTTATAGTATGTTCTACAACATGTAGAAGGATTGCATAGTACAGAGGGAAAAGCAACACATAGCATTTAGTTAGACAAAGCAGCACCATGACAAAGCAACTTGGCACACACTCCAACTGAAGCAAGCACAAGCAGCACAGTGGTCTGGGAGACAAACGGGCACTTATTGTGTTAAGAGAACACCGCCACAACTTAATGAACCACCAACTCCACAAATGAGTCTGGGAAAGTTGGACAGGCACAGAGAGGGTTACGCAAGACTGCCTTTCACGCTAAATGCTTACCTGTAAATGTCTTTATGGATACCGTTTACTAACAGGGGCATTTTGGGGGGAAGTGTGTTGTTGTATCTACCTACGCCCCTGGTTGTGTGAGTGGAGATCATGCAAGTAAAGCAAGACAAGGGAAAAAAATGGAAAAAATACACAACTGCTGTGAGTGAACACAAAATGCAAAAAAAGAAATTAATCAAAAGAGCTTTGCCTTCTTTGAGGTCAGTCAGTGAGCAGGTCTCTAATCCCCTCACACAGTGATCAGAGTGTTGTGTGTGTTTTTATGAGACAGTGATAGACAATAGTCAGACATGAATGTATGAGTGTGCTACAACTACTTGACCCTGATGTGACACTTTTGTCTTCATGCAGTTGCAAAAAAGACACACTCTAAAGTATCTACAGTCCATTCAAAATAATCAACGCGCTCTGTTTGCATTGAAAACATCAACATTAAGTGTGTTAAGATGGAGTTGTTAAAGTATAGTGAGGATGGAAATGATGATCAAATGGCATATTTTATTAAAATAAAGCTGAATGGTGGTTGTTGTCTTTGTCTTTTCTTTTTTTTTTTTTTTACCTGTTTGTGTGCAGGCACTCGGCACTCCCGCCCCGGATAGACCTGTGCATCTCCAGGACCTCACTGTCATTGCCATGACGATGGGTGAACAAATGAGAAACAACCCGAGAAAACACAACAGAAGAGGATGGCAACTCAGACAGGCAAAGTGAATTTATGAATGAGAGAAACCAGGAAATCATAATTCTGAGGTTTCAATTAAGTCTGCATCAGCAGTACAGAATGATAATAACAAACTTAGTATGTCGCAATGACTAGTTTCACACTGTTAGTAGTATTAGTAGAAATTCCCTATCACATTACACAAAACAAGATTCAACATGAATTAAAGTAAAATAAATAATAAATATTAGCAAGTCAAGGCTCCATAAGCACATTTTGGAACTGATGAAGACCAGAGCTGCTGTCAAATCATTGCTGAATGAGCCACTAGGGGCACTGATCCAATGTGTGTGTGTGTGTGTGTGAATCTTGTTTTTTTCACATATTTCTTTAGGCCTATATATTATATTATGTATGTTATATACATAGTTTTACTTTTCAAAATAAAGTATTTTAAGTAAAAAAATCTAAACATCAACAAATTTTTACTTAAAAAGTAAAAAGCCAACTAAAACACACTGTCATAACCCACCCCACACCTGTGATGATGCCCACAGATCCCAGTAACAGGTTACCTGTCCTCAGAGTACTCGTAGTCCGAGTCACCGGAGCGTTGGTGCTCCAAGTGGGAGTCATGGTAGCGTGAGGGGGAGTGGGAGTGGTGGCGGTTCTGGTGGATCTCATCCAGACTCCTGAGATGTATGATAAGAATTTTAGTTCATAAGTCTGAGGATTCAAAATGTCCATGATACTTTTTACAATACGAACTGCATTTTTTTCCACTCTTCATTCTTCAATGCAAGTGATTTGGCCATATAGTAGTGTCATTAAAAGCCTTAATACAGTAAATACATAATAACAAGCAGCATTGAGTCCCTGGTACATATACAGTAGAGTCAGACCACACAATAATCTTATTAAAAAGCAAAAATGTCACTTGTTTTGAACATAATCTGGTATATATAATGTATATATATAGTGTATATATATTGACACATTGATGGTTGATGCTGGACTACTGTCACCACAGTCAACACACACTCCACTGACAGTTCACCAGGTGATTTCTGGCAGGTGATGCTGACCTTTGCATGGGCACGTGTGCGGGCCGTGACCGAGCCCTGCAGGAGTCCTCTCTGTGAGGAGACACTGAGCGGGAGCGGTGCTGGACGGGCCGCTGCTGCTCAGGCACAGCCAACGTACTGCCTCGCTCTCTCTCCCTGGAGTTACGCTCTGCACCTACACACACACACACACACACACACACACACAGAGATCCAGCACGCATACACCCACACACAAGGGAGAAAAAAAGCAGAACTCCCACATACACACACATTCATACAAATATGAATACAATGCACACACACACACCAGAATAGACAGACACACACACACACACACACACACACACACACACACACACACACACACACACACACACACACACACACACACATACAGGCATTAGTTGTGTGTCCTCTGATAGGGATGCACCAGTCGTCAGTGTTGTGCTACTGACTACCACTACAGATGCCATTCTCTTACAGACTGTAGAACATCACATCAGGATGTTTTACAGACAAATGACCAGCTAGCAAACAGGTTAGCTGGTCATGTGAGCTAGCCTGAGTGGCTGACTGTTTCTGCAGTGTTTCTGTCAGACCTGAGATCAGTGAGATTTGCATCTCTCCGTTCTTTTTTTTCCTAACTTGCATGGAGTGCCAAACACGACGAGAGATCAGACTTTTAACTCCAATGACTACATCTACAATATATAGGTTATATACTGTATAATCCAACAATACAGATAATACAACAAATGCATGAGCTCAATAATTACAGAACCTGTATTAGCTTAATTGTAGTTCCAAAGTAGAGGGAATTATTTTGGGCGTTCAGGTTTTCAGAAGTAAACTGTTCATTTTCTGCACACAGTTAGGTCAGGTGACACATGAAAGTCTCCTGGTTTTAATCGTCATTACAAAAGATGTGAAACATTGATCAGGAAAATCTGTGTTCTAAAGAAAACTACAACTCCCAAGATGCAGTTTAAGAAACATCCATTCCCCAATCTTGAAATCCTTTAAATTACAAGAAGCAGAAGATAGTGTATGCTTTTTGGAAAACTGGCAATACAGTCTGCCGCTTAAATTAACCCCTCTTTTGGATTCTGGGTCATCTATCTCTTTTTTGTTCTGCAACTGTAAAGAAACATTTAGATTTTGCTACAGCTCTGATTTGCATCTCTGACAGGCTTCTTCACCATAGCAACTGTGGGTATTGCAGTATGTATTTAGAGCTGTTTGCTATGACAAACAAAAAAAACCAATGACTTCTCAGAAAGGAAAATTACATAAATTAAAGTGATAGCCAGAGCTTGCTGTAAAGTACATCACATCATTATGTGTCTGTAGTGAGGAACATTAAAGATATCATTAAAAAAAACAGGAACCAACAGGTATTTATCCGTCTAAAGGATGAGATGTATTACATTTATATTATAAAATATATAAAATAGTGCTGATGCATAAATGTGTCCGGAGAATGTAAAAATGTACATTGTTTGTGCAAAAGATCCCAATCTGAGCTCAGTGTTTGCATGAGAATAAAAACAGGCATGGTGGCGTTCCAATAAGTCGGAGATTGTGTACACGTTCTAACACTTATTAAACTTCCCAATGTGGCACACCATACCCATCTGGCAATTTGAAACACCAAAATGAACCACAAAAAGCTGTGAATATTTAAACCAGGTCTGCATTCATCTGACAGGAAATGAAGCCACAGCAGAAACAGTCAAACAACAAAGCAGTTGTAGTGATTCTACTGACCAAAATAACACAAATTCAGCTTCTACTGCACATGTTCAGTGTCCTTTCAGTGAAGTGAGCAACTTCTGGGCAGGACTAGAAGCATGCAGGAGAATGGCAGTGAACAACTGTAGCTCTACAGTCTAACATGCACTCAGTGCTTCAGTGTATCTACGGCCCAGCAGAAGAGGAGAAACTGTCCACTGCAGCCTCAGTGAAGGAGTACAGTACGCTGCTAAACTGCAGCACCAAGAAGGCTGTACACCACAACACTGCAATTCAAAACCTGCAGTCCAGTAGCAGTATGATGAATTGCAAAAGTCTTTGGAGTGTTTCCTTTTGCTGATACAGCAAAGATTAATTACTTTAATTTGGGTGCAGTTTGTTCTAAAACATACAGTGGAGCCAAAAGGAGGCTGGAAGGTTTGGGAGAAAGATGGAGGATGCAAAGAAGACGCTCTCTCACCCAGTGCTGGACGCCTACAGGCTAACACAAGAAAAGGCTCAGTAACCATGCCCCCCACCCACCTTTAGTCACTACCATCAAACCATCATCAAACTCTGTATCAATGATGCGCTGAGACCCTGCACACGTACACAACACACACACACACACATAGGAGAGGGTAAGGTTGAGAGGTTCTGTTGTCAGTCTCCCACACTGAGAGACACAAAAGAGAAAGCTCAGAAAAAGGAAAGGTTAGCAACCACACACTCACACACACTGTAGGCTCACAAAACAGGGATTGAATCATACACACACACATATTTGTAAACACATAGTCTGTAAAAATACCGTATATAACCAGACATACTCTGTAGTTTCTTGCTGGGGCTGTCTCCGTGGACATGTCTGCGTGGAAGGTACGGGGAGGGCTGGGGCAGAGGTATGGAGGACACGTCATGTGTCTGGAGTTTATACCAGTGAGGAATGTCGTCCAGCAGAGCCGTCTCCAGCTCTATCAGGATCTGAGAGAGGACAGAGAGAGACGGGTGGAAGAGGTGAGCAAAAGAGAAACACATCCACTGAGGATCCAGGTGTTTGGGCTGTTGAGACTCTGTGGAACCTCTTTAATGCAGGAGACCTTTAACCTTAAACCTTTAAACCTTTTTGGTTTGTTTCTTCTTAATATAAGGAGGTGCCAACCTGAAACTGCTCATCACAAGTCACAAATGATGAGTTGTGTGAAGTTCAACCAATAAGTGATTTGTATGTTTTCATTAGTGTATATTCACCTTAAGAAAAGAATTGTCAGAGTTTTCACCTATTTCACCACTACAGTTTCTCCTACACGCTTGGAATGCTGAGCTGTATTCATTAAACCGTTAAATGAAATATTGTTGTGGCGTGGTCCTTGCCACTGAAATTCTAGTCAATACACCCCAGGTTTATAACTGTGTCAAATGCATTGGGAACTGGCTAGAAAAGCAGGAAATAGTGTAGAAAATAATCTGGAATTTTCTATTTGACGTAATGGTGCAGTCAGAAAAAACCTGACCTAGAGGTTTAAGATGCTGATCATGTAATTGTAACAAAAAACGTGATATTGCTGTCAATGTACGTACTGTAAGTGTCACTAAGAAAAAAAGCTATGTTGATACAGAACATAGTATATATAATGTTTCAGATAACATTACAGTACATCCCTGTATACTCTCCCATAAATATCTCCCAAATAGCAGCAGTATATATATATATATATATATATATATATATATATATTTACAGGTAATTTAGCAGCAAATGCTCAATCTGCATATTGGACCATACAGTATAAAAATGGTATATGGATATATATGTGTCACCCACCTCTCCCAGGAATTCACTCTCCTCCTCCTGGACTCTGGGCTGGTCCCACACTGTGATCTCTAGCATGCGTTCTCTAAAGTCCCGCCGGTGAACGTGGGAATATAGGAAGGTCTGGTTCCACTTGGGCTCAGCGCTCTTCTTCACTGTTTTAGTCCGCCGTTTACTCTTATCACTAGGACAAAGGCGTGGACGCACAGAGTTAACGTTATAAGGGGAAAGACACAAACACTATTCCTTTAAAATAACAAGGGTGGACAATGGCAAATTGATGGGATTAAATGAGTTGAAATTCTTCTATAATGGAGCAGAAGTTCCTTTGATTATGTTCCTTAGTGCTGGTGTGATGCTCTTTTGGGATGCAGGTAGCTACGGATGGACTGTTTGTGAGATAGACCCACATAAGGAAAAAAAATGGACATAATGACTGTACCTCCTATCAGGCAGGAAGTACATCTTGACGTAGGGGTTCCGCGGTCGTCCGTCTGGTCGGGGTGGCAGGTCTATGGCTTGAAGGACGTTGACGATCAACTGATGGCCCACTTTGTCGTAGCACAGCTTCACCTGTAAAAGTGTGTGAAGAGAGTTAGTCTCTCTCCATATGTATAACCATATATATACCTCTATCTTTCAGATACTCACAGAGAGCTGTCCAGGCAGTACCAGAGGAAGGTCTCGGAGGGCCCCGGGGCTGGTAGGGGACATCACTGATATAGAGGGACGCTCCATCTTTTGTGACTCAAAGGAACTGGAGCCTGCTGTTGAAGAGGACAACAGTTGTTAGAGCCAAAAGCACAATCGACTCCAAAATGTGGAATTAGAGCGCTGATGTGTAAAGAGTGTAGTTCTCTCCAGCAGCTACTCACATAAGCAGTAAACAGTAGTAATAACATATATAAAGCTGCTCATATAAACACTTACTTGATTCTAGAGGAGGGTGGGATGACTCTGGGATTCTTGGGATGTCTCTGTAAAACGTGAAACAGAGTCAGTGAACTCTTCAACTCTAGATGTGCAGAATATACATCAAGATACTTGCAATGTAAAGACACAGTCAGGACGTTAGTGTACATTCATCTTTCAAAAAATGAATGAGTAAAAGACTGAACCAACAGTTGCATGGCAGTAGAAGAGCAAGCAGTCAATCGAATACATATTTACATATTAAACATGGTGGGTAGAAAAGGAGAGAAGGATAGCTGGAAAAAAGGGGATTTTTCTCTTGGATCTCAGGATTTCAGGGAAGGCACGAGGGGAAGGGGCTCCACCCATTAAAGCAACACTACTTACTGATATGCTCTATACACTTTTCTCAAGAAGTTTTTGGACATAATTCGGTGGATAGAGCTTTTAGATAGAGGAAGAACACATATCAAAAGTGTCTGTCAGAAAAGAAAATAATGCCATCACTCAAGTACTTAAATGATCATTCTTGCATATTAATAATGTTAATCTTACCCAATAGGTCTTGAAACAACTATTTCCACTTGAGGTTCAGCCTTGGATTCAAGGATAATGTTGTACACTTCTTTCTTAGTTGCTCCCGGCAACGACTTCCCATTCCACTGCAGCACCTCGTCACCTGCAACCAAGATGGCCGACACACACAATGAATCCAGCCTGAGGCTTATCTTGCAATACATTTGACTATAAAAAGCCAGTTTCTAACAGAATTGTACAAGTTTTTTGAGAGGATAAAACTGTTTTTGGACATATTTGTGGTTAATAGCTTCTAAGCTTGAGTGGGTGTTTCTATTAGCAACAGTTGACTAACATCTGGAAGCTGATGTTGCTATCAGCGGTGCACTACTGTCTGGGAATGTCGTACTGTTTTTAGCCTACAAACGTTGATACTAGGTGCTTTTCCCCTTTTGCCCACGTAGTGTTGCTATCAACTGACTGCAATTTAAGCTATCTCGCCTTTATAACATTCAACATTTGTAAGAACCCGTCAAGTTTAGTTTGTATTTCACTCGGAAAGAGGAAGCTAGCAAGCTAGGTTAAATAGCTTTGCTGGGAAAGTGGAATCTAGTTAACCAAGCTAACTTATGTTAGCGCTTTTTCTTTGGGTTTGTATTATTTCAACACCTGCTGAGTCATCTGCAGATCCTGCATACATCCCACATTATTATACAAGGATGGGGTGTCTAGCTAACGTTAGCTTTCTCTCTTTCACTGGCCTCGATGTCAAAACTCACAGCAACAGGTAGTTCTGTAGCCTCACCTCTCCGTACGTTACCACATGATTTAATCATGACATGAAGTAACGTAGGGACTAAACAATGGCTGACAATATTGGTCCACAGCTGGTGGACTACCTGTGCGTCTGTTGGAAATTAACCCCTGAGTGTCCGCCCACAAAGATATTGCCCCAATCAAAGACAAAGATTGAAGATATACATACCAAAACACATTTCTTTGACTTTACAGATCTGACTCTTGATTAAGCCATTATCAACCAAGCAAAGATAAAAGTACAGCAGCTCCTGTATAGAAACAGTGTGTTCAACCGATTCGCACCTGCTCGTAGGTGTCCCACGACATCTGCCAGGCTGCCTTTCTTGACTTTGGTGATAAAGGCCCCAAGTCTCCCTGTCTCTGTCATCTTCCCTCCTACCACCTGCACACAAAGGGGAGGAAAGGAGGATAGGAACAAAGCTTCATGTTGGCAGACTCAGAGCCATTTCTTGTTCCTGTTTTACTATTCTACATACCTATGACATGGAATACTCTTCGCCTTTCAATGTTTGCTACACCACAGTTTTCACAGGAATTACAAAACATGTTTATTTCCAGTTTGAACTCATATCAACCAGAGCTAAAACACTAACAAATGACCATGTTTGAATGAGAGGGATGCCCTGCTTACTTTTAGGCCGAGGAGGGAGCCAGCCTCACGGGGTATGGCCGACCTCTTGCTTAGAGTGATGCGTCCGATTAGGTGGTCACCCTCCTTGGACGGTTGCCATGTAACTGGATGCTGCAGGAAAAGCATTGTGAAGGAAAAGGAGAGAACAGTGGTAAGGTTGTGTTAATGTTGCTGAGTAGGATCAATAAACAAATGAAATAAAAGTTCTCAGTTCTTTATACTTAATTGTATGTAAACATTGTTGTAATAATTCTATTTGTGTAAATAAACTTTGTGTGTGTGTTTGCATGTGAGTGCATGTACATGTATGTGAGATATTGTAAGTATTTATGGCAGAGGGAGCACACTAACACTGACTCTGTCATGTTTTGCTGAAACTTACGTGCCACACTGTAGGATCTAGAGAATGACAGTCCCAGTCACCTGCACCGAGAAAGAGAAACAGGGGGAAGTTAGATGTCCACTGCCAGTACCCAGCAGAAATGTATCTTTTATGTACAGTAAATATATCATACTCTATGGTTTCAATTCCAAGAATAAAAGACTGAGAAAAAAAGGTCTGTTTCAAATAAAAATAAACATTTTGAAGCATTGCTCAGAGCATCTCGTCATTTTCAGGTAAGACCTCTTATAATATATCTTCCCATCCTTATCATACATTCAGGTATACTCCTTTTGGCAGGAACCACATATGGGCCATCCACACCTGGACAAAGCCCTTTGTCTACTTAATGGTCAGGGCTGGTTGGTATGTCAGCGGTGGAGAAACTTGGATATCTCCACAAACTAAAATACTTAGTAATACCTCAAATGTGTACCAGGGATGGGCATGACTACTCATTTGGACGTTTGTACTTGTTTAGCGCATTGAGTACACACATTTTGATCTGTGCATGCACAGCCTTTCAGTCACAGATCACTCATCAGCTGAATGAAATTAACTGTTTATTTATAGCCTATGGGCCAAGGTGGCTGCAGTTGAAAAACTGTTGAAATCCCCTGACTTTCCTTGTTTGGAATATTCCTCCTGAAATGCTATGCTCTTTTGGAAATTTAATGTTAAATAGAAGGAAAAAGAACCAAAAAAATAATGGTTAAAACGGTAAATAAAACGGTAAATAACAGTTATTACAGGACCACAGCTAACAAAACTTCATTCATAATCAAATTGATTCACTATGCTCCAAGTTGGCCTGTCCAAAACTCCTGCCAGGACCTGGTCAGGGACAGAGACACCAGTGACTGAGTATCCCAGCTCTCATTAACACTGACAGATGGTCGGCTCGAGTAGAAGAACTAACTGGCCCGGCATCAGACCAGAGCACCCTGCGAGATTCATGGCCACTTTTCCACCCCAGGAATAAAACAACAGCAAGATGACATCAGATGTGGATTTAAAAGACTTTGAGGAACCGGAATTTCAAGGTAAGTGAAATCTTGGAGCCTGGCATTAGACAAGATGAATGAGCTTTTGGCACAAAAGAGCAGGAAGAGAGATAACAAAGCTGAAACTTTATGGAAAACAAATACACACCACATGCACCGCTGTGTGTCAAAGACATTTTTAGTGATACTCAGTGGGAATCAAATGGAAAATGACCACTTGACAGGTTGATAAAGATCAGAAAAAACAAGAAGTCTGAGTAGACATGACTCCAGTGCTGCTAATCTGAAATCTTAAAGTCCACTGAGAATGCTTGAGAGGATAAATGCTGACTTCACAGTTTGAACTGCTGAGTAAGGGTATTCGGTTTTGGAGGATGAACACGGCGGGCAGATTATAAAATCTGGGCTGCTCCTCTAACTGATGCTACATCAAAGCATCAGCTCTTTGCAGGTATTAACGTAGTATTGTTCTTGATAAACAGTGTGTGTGTGTGTGTGTGTGTGTGTGTGTGTGTGTGCGTGTGTGCGTGTGTGTCATAGAGCCTGCCCTCCTCTTTCGCTTCATCTGCTATTTTACCAATTGCAGTCACTAAAATGAACAAGTGCATCAAAATCCCTCTATTGCCCAAGCTATATATTTAACACAATTAAGTTTGTTCAACAGGGGATCAACCTGAAAAGACCAGGGAGGATTAGTGGGTCCGCTCATAAATCGTCAGTACTATAAAAAACATTAGAATCTAGCTTATTTTACAGAGGAATGTAAGAGAAGTAAAGAAAAAAAGTTTATAAAAAGATATAAAATGAGCAGACATGTGCCTGCCAATATATATGCAATGTGTAGTGACTATGTCCTATACTTGTGCCGCTACTGGCTGCTAATTGGGCTAATTGTTTCCAATGTGTACTCAGTCTTTACCAATACTTTGCAAAGTAGGACTATTTACCACTTCCCGTAAGTAACACAAAAACAATAAAACAATAAACAGCAGCATAATCTGAGCACTGTTAAAAACTCTTTGCTCCTCTTCCCAAATTAACAACATGAATGACAGGAATTTAGGCCAGCCTCGGACTATACAACACAATACAACAACGCGCACCCTGTGGCTTGGAGGGACACAACACCAATCAATACATGGCTCCTACACAATGCATGTGCTAGACTTGCTTAAAATGTCCGAAGCCTGAGATGTCATGTCACCAAAACACACTATTGAACATGTGAAGGTTAGAAAAACTCAGAGTTGATGCTCCACAAGTCATAGACGGCATAGATGGCTTATGCCAGCAGATCTGAATGCTCTGTTCAGCAGATTTTGTGCCTTAAAAGCACATCTTATAGAAATCCAGGACCAGGCCTGAGACTGAATAAATTATGACCTTACCCTAACTAAGGAACATACTGCATGTGACAGTGAAACAAGGATCGGTACCATTGTCAAATGGTCTGCAGGACGCAGACTTAGGCCAGCTGACTGGTCAGGCAGGGGCCGAGAGCCTTTCTAGTTTCAGTATTTATTACCCAGGGATATCGTAGCCTCTCTGCTCTGCCACGGACATATTCTCTTGTCGCAGTACATTTTCCAGCCCATCACACTGGATGTCACCTCAGAGAGAGCTGGGTGAGGAGGATGTAGTAACCATGAACAGAAAGTAAAAGGTTCTTTTTTGAAAAACTTTTTCCTTGGGTTCAAGGATGATCATTACTGATAGAAAACACTTGACAACCACAACACAACACCTGGCAAATCCCAGCTTGTATACAAACCAGTAGGCCCACAGCACCACCATACCAGGTCCTATTCATGTACTGGTAAAACAGATGAATAAAGGAACCTAGCAGCCTTGGCTGCTATGACATGCATTAGATCACAAAGTATATCAAATGTATCCACAATCAAGTAATGTGTTTTGTATGTTGCATCATTTTTCTGTAATTTTTGGTTCTTAACTGTAACTGTGTGCCGTCAAGTTACCAAAAAGAAAGTACATTTATAGTGAAACTTATTTTTTGTTTGTTTGTGTTCACGGTGGAAATAAGAGCAAATACAACAGCGTCTCTTGTGTCATCATTTTAAGAGCATGCAACTCTACTAATAAAGTACTTGTACACTATTGTGCCATATAGTAGCAGTAGCCACCACACTATTTTTGTCATTTTGTGTATGTGAGAGAAAAAGAATTGCACTATTGGAGAAAACAAGGGTAACTCTTTCGTTAATGAGAGTAATTTGGCCTTACAGTCTGTGTATAAATATTGTTAGTGTTTTGGTCAGTACAGCGAGGTAGAAACCCTGCGTCATTTTGGATTTGACATGGCTTGTAACAACTTTATCGATCAGATTAGATTGTGTTTTTTGTTTTTGTTTTTCTGGTATAAGAATACAGCCTACCATTTTGTTAGATTGTATTGTACCTGAGACCTGAGAGTAGCACTGTTGTCATGTCAGCTGTAGTTATCTTAATCTCTATGTTAAGACCATGTAGGATGGTGCTGGATAAAGTACAAAAGAGAAAAAAAATCTAAATCATCATTCTAAATATCAGAATTTGGCATTAGAGTTAAAACAGTGTCTTTTGTTTTGACTTCACATTTGCACTCATGTTCTGCATTGTGGAAAAGAGAACTAATTCTCCAATAAGTAAACGGGCCATATAAAAATTAATCGGCAATTAAGAAATAATATCTTGACTCAATTTTCTCAACTGTGAAAGGAAATCTTTTTCCTCATCATTGCTAATGCTCTCTGCACCGACACATACAGTATGGTATAGTTCATAGTCATGCTCATTCTCTGGGGACTTGAAGTAATCATTGTAAATGCAGGGACATCTCATAGACCACACACACACACACACACACACACACACACACACACACACACACACACACACACACACACACACGCAATAGTGGCTAAAGTGCAGCACAGTGGGACGCAGTGTCATCCCTACAGCACACAGACTTCCCCTTCCATTTCCTCAGCACCATTATCACCTTGGTGTTCTTCTTGACACCGAGGAAGTAAACCAATTACACCCAATCACCCCCTGCTTCCATTTTACTTCAAACACAGAGCCAAAGCGGCTGTGTCATTAAAGGCTCAATCTGGGAGATACTCTCATATATCTGGTGGGATACAGTTTAATGGGCAAAAAGGGAAACCACAATGTACACACTGTTTACAATAATCCTGCTAAGAGGATTCTTGGAACATATAATCAACTGTTTATGCATGAAAATTACATAACTGCGTGCATCATGGCTGTTTTGTGATGAGCACTGAAAAAGAAAAATCATAGCTTTTTAATCTGAGCTGTGTCCATGCATAGCCTCACTGCTTGTGTTCTGCATTAAATCAATTTATTCTATAACTTTTTTACTTGACAAATATAGTTGACAGATTGTGTGAGTCTTCATTATGTTAGGTAATGTTATACCAATACGTTACTACGAGTTCAAAAAAATCAAACTGTAAATACAGTGCAGGGCTGTTTACTCCTAATGTAAGTACCTTATGATGATCACTAGTGGGAGTGGAGCCACTAAGCTTTTTTATGTTAACCGCTAAATCAGTGATTATAATCCAGTTAAATGTGTAAACAGTCCATTCTACTGTCTCATCTATCTGATATAAACCTTAAAACTATCGAAGCTTATTACCTGTTAGACAGGTACTTGGAGGAGAAACACCTACAAGTAATCAAAAGATCCAATATGGATCATTTACTGACTTTATGAAAAGTTTTAGAAAACGATATTCCACCTTACACCAAGTCTGATTGTATGCAGCATTGTGTAAAGGTTGACATTGTCAAGTTTTTCAACCAAGGTCTTTCCCACAGGCCTTAACACAGTCCAAAGGGGCAGTCATACAGGCCCTTTAAAAACCACAATTAAACACTGCTGGCGTCTGTATTTGACGACCCAGGAATGAGAACGGGCTATGAAGTGTGTAGGAAACTATGGTGGCCACGAAACTCACGAAAAACAGGAAAGGCCTTATCTCTGTTGTCCATTCTGGGCTACTGTAGGAACCTCGAGTATCAAGTAGAAACATGTTTAACATGGCGAAAATCACGAAAGGCAACCTGTATCATCTGCAGATATAAACGGCTCATTCTAAGGTAACAAAAACACAACGATTCCTACATTCATTTGATTATTCACTCATTTGAATATTATATTCCATTTCTGCCAATAGATCCTCCTGAATGTTACACACTGGACCTTTAAAAACACATTTAAGCTAACAGTATAGTCTGCAATGTATTTTTTATGTTACTTGAATGGTATTGACCATAGCACAAAGTCATCTGACTCAATATTAATATCTAAAATATTACTGAAAGCAATTATTTCTACAATCATTCTGTATGAATGTGAATGAGGCTGCTTTTAGTGAACCTAGAGAACACCTGGATCTGCAGCTCCTGTTGGCTTTACAGAGCTTAATAGTGGGTTTCAGCTTGTCAGGCAGCTGTTTTCAGCAAAAGCTTTGAAAACCCCACTGTACATTACCTGCTCAGCACCAAATCTGCTGGATTTGCCAGGTGGACAGAAACATGGCACTAAATGAATGCTAATGTTGCTCCGTAACTGCTGGATGTGTAAATAAACTGTTTTCTGACAAGTTTCCCATATCAACTTAAAAGGTGGTCATATGTCAATAGCCAAGGTTCTGTCCATTGAGCTAATACTAAACACATTTGCAGAAAAATGGCAAAATAAAACACTGTACATTTCCTTCCACTACTTTTATGTGAATATTAGAGGAGTTGGTGGCGCTAATTCTCCAGTTCGGTGCCATCAAACCACTGCAGAGGAAGAGGGCCAAATGAGGTGATGTAATTAAAACATCGCCAGTAAAATGTAGACAGTGTGATGGAAATATTTGTTTCGTGCATTAATTTGAAGGAGGTCACAGTCTAACAAAGATGCTTATCTTTTAATTGTAAGGCCCTTACACTTGAATTATGAGGCACATTAACTGCGAACACATAACATGAGGTTGTTTATAACATCTCATAAACCCGCAGTAACGGCCAGACCATCTCTTGACACCGAAGTCTCTCTTGCCGACAGTCATGTCTACGCTTAATAATGCAAACAGCGGATAGCAACCCTAATGCAATAATATTCCATAAAATGCAATTTCTTCTAAAAACAGTAAGGTACACTTGACCCTGTGTTACCGTCTCACTTCTCTTCACAGTCTAATGCATCCATGTAGGGAAACATGCCTGCTCCATGCCACAGATGAGAGTAAAAGGAGACATCCTGTTTTGAGGCCCAGCTAGCTAAAGAGTGTTTAAAACAGCTAATAATGTCAATCCACACCATCTACCCATTACCAGTCCCTGCGTTATAGTAATCTGGATTAAAACATCTGGAATAGGCCCTTTCTGTGACCGGTGAGAGAGATAATCTGATAGAGCACAGCTAACTCTACCTAGTGCCTCTTGAACTCAGATGCTCTCCCATGGCTTATAGCACAGTCCAGCTGCAAAATACAGCTGCAAAATACATAGGTACCAAGAAGCCAAGCGGTAACCATGCAGCATGCAACCACAGCCAGGCCTGATTTTAGTCGGTGGTCCATGGTTGGCTGGTGCAGCTGGCTGTTTGTGAAGCATTACGTTGCATGCTAGCCACTGGCCTAATTCCACAAATCTGCTGGCCTAGATCACAGGAACTCTCCAAATAAATGAGAGCTGTCCTGAGAACAGCAGGGTTTAGCCACAGCACAGAGGTGTAGATGACACACAGGGATGGTAATGCACTGTGTGCTGGGTGGGTGCTTCATCCTATCACTTATCGTATAGTTTAACAGTCCGAAATTAGAATGTGATGGTATTAGAATAATCATACAAGCCAATATCTCTATGATTTTTTTTCACATTATCGGAATTCTACTACCAAGGCTATTTTAGAGGCTAAGGCTAGGAAAACATGGCCATTGACTGTGGGAAGGGGAAAGACGTTGCAATGGAAAGGAGCTTTATCATAGCATTCTTATGTTACTCAGCTGTTTTGGGGTCTCTGGATCTTTACAAGCATATTTCATCTGAATAACAATTCTTTCCTCAGTTAAAAAAAAAACCGTGTCAGATCATTTGTCCAATCATTCAATCAGGATCTTTCTATCGCTCAGAGCATTAGCTGCAGGTCAGGCTACAATTAGCCATCAAACCTTGTACTGCTGTGATTCTAATCCCGCCCACACTACACTGGGTATACAGTAAGTGATACAGGTAAAGTCTCAAAGGGCTCTTGACATTATAAAGAGAATACAACAAATGCAGAACTCAAAGGAAGGTCCTTTGATTCAGGTAGACAGAATGAGGATCACATGTGCAGATTAAGGATGGGCATGTGAGCTAGGTGAGAGCTGCAGCAGCTCATTAATGAGGTACAAAAAGACAGGTGAGACTTTAAAGCTGGCTCCAAGAAATAACTATAAGGAGCAATGTAAGGAAATGGATGACAGTAAATAGTGCAAGGTATGCAAGTTCAGATATATTTAGCTTAGTAAGCTAGTGGAGTGAGCACATCTGTCTGACTGACCTTTCTCGCTGACGCTTTCCATGTCCACGTCCTCACAGCTGGTGTACTCGGGCGTGGAGCCGCCCTCCTCCTCTGAGCTGCTGATGGACATCTGCCTCTTGTTGACTCCGCGCTTGCTCTTGTATGACCGTGGAGGGGGCGGCCGCAGAGACTCCGACTGGTCTGAGCTCTGAGAGTCCTTCCTCAGCAGGTTATCCCCACCTTTGTCCCTTGGTGTCCGTGTTGTACCGGGCTCTAGGCGGCCTTTGTTTGGGCCCCAGTCTGGAGGCACCGGTCCCTCAGGTTGGGGTCCTGATCTCACTCCACCTCCAGCAGGTGGAGCTCCCCCTCCAACCCCCACGGTCCTATCCACAGAGTAGGCTCGGTGGTTTTCCAAAACGGCCTTGCGGTCTCCCTCCCCACCTCCGCCCCTCCTGGCCAGACGGTTTTCAGGCACCTCCCCTGCGCTGCCTCCACCTCCTCCTTCACCAGGCCCCAGTCCGACCTCGTTGATCGCCAGATCACTGTGTCGTCGTTCGTGGCGGACCTTGGACACCTTAGCATGCATGCGCATCTCCTGCTCCTCCTTCTGTGGTTTCACCGGGTATCGTGCCAGGTTGGGATCACTACGGTAACGGTTCTGGAACTCCTCCTCACGGCGCTGGCGCTCCCTCTGCTCCTCGTCCTCTGGGCGTCTCCGGTGTGTTTCTGAACGACCCATGTTCTCCTGCCCATCCTCGTAGTCTTGAGAATGGATCTTCTCTAGCCTCCGTCCATCTCCTAACCGTCTCTCGCCTCTGTCCCCAGGCACCACTCGCTCGTCGAGGGATGACTGAGAAGGCAACTTCCCAGCAGGTCTCCGGCCACTACCGCGTCCCATGCCTCCCTTTCCATTTTGTTCATGTAGGGAAACTGGCCTTTTCCTGTACAAGAAGAGGATTTATTATACCAATGTACCCTACAGTCTACAGACACACACATAAAGAGTTTCATGTGTACCAAGAACATTCCTTTCTATGTTTGCAAAACCTTGATGACTTTTATACCAACAGATTAAAACCAACATGAGACATGTGATGAATTCTTACCTAACTCACCCACTAAATGAAAACCCAGGGGCTTTGAATCAAAGATCTCTCAAGACTAAAACCTGTGACCTAGCTTCTGCACTGGTTAAGCTAGAACAGACATAGATCTATGCTTTTTTGACCCCAGGGATTAAAAAACAACAGGAGCTCTGGCCAGCAAGCAGTCCCAGCTTTCTCAGTTTTTAAAAAATATGGTTCCCATTCTCAAAAATCTCCAATTTCCATCACGTTAAAGAAAAAAGATGTAACATGTAAAGCATCCTCTAGTGGCAGCTACCCATGTGTTCACTGCGTGTATTTTGATGCCTTACTTTTCTCTAGGTGGTTCACTTTGGGAGCGAGAGCCGGGCATGGTGTCCACACCCTTGGCAGCAGTGACACCGGCAGGCGGCTGTGTCCCGTCGGGCAGCCCTGTGTTGGTGTTGGTGCTGGATGGTGGGGCTTGGGACCTGGAGCGGAGTAGCTTCCTGTCCCGTTGAGCCTCACCTCCCGTGGCTGGGTTGTTCAAGGAGGTGCCCAGGCTCCCAGGCCGCACCCCTGACCCCGAAAACCATTCTCCTGATTTGGTGAGAATCTCCTGTTGTTTACGGCACAGGTTGCATACCCACATTACCTACAGGGGTTGAAAGGACAACAGTGTTTGCAAGCTGGGTTCAATAGCATTAAAGAAGAACATTAAATACATGAAATACCTAACAGAAAAGTGGTTAGACATGCCTGTGACACATTTACACAACACAAATTAATTGTATTGAACATATAGCCTATTACTAAACAAATGCAGCATTGTTAACTTCATGGGAGCAGATACAGTTTCTCCTAGGCATTATAAAGTCTTGTTCTGTCTATCAAATTTCACAAACACCTTTTAGCTCTCATAAATGGCAGTAGCTCATCTTTTTTTTTAAAGGACAAAAATTAAAATTATTCCCCCAGATGATTTTCCCTCCTTCCTTTGCTACAGCTAATCAAATATTAGAGCACTCAGACATGGCAGACTGTGCTGTTCAACATATCCATTATCCACAAACACAGCATGGTCAGGGCTATGGCAAAATCTGTATGTTTAGAAAAACGAAGAGGTCATGTTTCCCCTGCCCTGAGGTGGATTTAATTAGTCTTATTGCATTGTAATCTTTAATAAAATCTTTATTTTTATGGATTGATCTATCATGCACAGGATAATAAAAAATATCACATTTTAGAGGGTGCCAAAGATAGTGGAAGAAGAGGAAGGAAAGAGGTATTGTACTGTATACATATGTACTGTTTTCATCGTAAAGGAGAAAGAGTAAAGCTGTTCTAGTCAGTGCACCATCTTCGCACATGCAGTCCATTTCTGGGATTTTGCAAAATTCTGTGAAATGCAACATCACAAAGTAAAACTGATGACCACAAGCATGTACAGTAGTCTTGATAAAATTTGATTCTTCATCCTCAAACCCACAGACAACATCAAATACTCACATGTAGCCATGGCTACTGAATATCACCTCACTTCCACAGCACAAAAACAGGATTTATCTCCCTCCGTATCTATAATCCCAACGGTTTATTTTTCAGAGAATAAATCCAAAGCAAAGAGCAAACACGGTCGTCTCTTATATTCCACGGCAAAAACCTTGGCAGAAGTTGAAAACAAAACCCCACTGGGACCTCTGGAAACCCCAAAATGTTACTCCTCGATAGCCAGTGGGACGGACTGTTAGCAGTCAGTTTAGCAGTTAGCAGCTAGCCTTCAGCGCGCCAAAGCACATTCATCATGGCCTGATTGAATCCTAGTTGGCGCATGTCCAGACTAATCTAAAGTAAATCAGCTGCCCGCACGGCCCACAGCTGTCGGGCAGCGGCCCAGCCGCACACTACAGTCTCTTTCTCTCCCTGTCTTTCTCCACCTCTTTACCTCAGCTGAGGGGCCACAGATTAGCAGTGGCCGGTAATCCTTTCAGCTCCTCATCATTATTCAACTCATCATCAGCTGACAATCCCAGCTCACAAATCAGAACTTCTAACCTATAGCCCACACATTCAAACACAAATGTCCAACTATTTTTGACAAGTTTTAATATTTGGCAGTTTTCATTAGTGGGGGCTATGGACACATTTCCAATGGCACTCAAGCTGTCCAGGTGTAAGATTGCTATTGGTGGAAGTACAAAAGGGCCTTATGTTTTATGAGGTCTGTTTGAATCCCTGGCGAAGGCATGATGCAGAAACATAAATTAGTTTTTAGGTCTAACTTGACGAGCCATGACAATAAAGGCATTTTAATTGTTTGAGAGTAGAAGAGTCAAGTTTTCCGTTTCACGATCACAGAAAAACATGTAAACTTCAGTATGATGCATCAAAATGACATTTAGGGATGTTTAGAATTATTTTATAATAAATTGTAAACACAAAGGGCTACATTATTACTATACGTTTCACTGGAACTTGATTTCTTATGCAAAATAAAAAAGGGTATGTTCAGAAAAATAAGTTTGTATTTCTAAAAGTAAGATATCATTTGGTCGTTGGTATCGAAACTCAAGTCAATTGGCACTAGTATAGACATTTCTTACACAATAGCCACCCCTATAATACTGAGGGTCAATCAGCACATGAGCCCTGTGAGTATTTATAAATTGCTTTGCTAGTCAACGAAATTCTCTAATCCACAAGCTTAATCCTTGAATGCGAGCATCATATAGAAGAACGCACATCATGGGACGACTGTGTGTTCTCAAACCAAAAGAGACACATTAAAAACAGATCTCATTTTCTAACGGCACGCCTTCATGTGTTCATTTGCTTTAAGAGCCTACACTGCAGATGGGGGGAGGCTATTAAACAACAAAGAAGTTATAGAACGCATGGGCATACACACACACACATAAACAAAAGATATAATACATATAATCCTTCACTAGAGTGATTGTGCTCTGTGTTCCTGGATAGCCTGAAAGATATGGTAGGGGGAATTAATTGTGTGTGAACTCAATGTGTGTGTGTGTGTGTGTGTGTGTGTGTGTGTGTGTGTGTGTGTGTGTTTATGTACATAAGATGCAAAAGCCCCACCCTGTAGTGTGTGTGACACATGTATTTGCAGCAGCGCTTGCTGCCGGACCAGCCGGAGCGTGATGTCAGACCCTCAGCTAAACCGTCCAATCAGCTCACCCCGTCCAGAGGCGGCCCACAGTGTCAATTTGAGTTCATCTCGCTGCCTCGCTGCATGCTGTGGAGCGCAAAGTGCTGTGACAATGTGTCTGTGTGTGTGCAGATATGTGTACAGTACGTATATGTACGACATTTCTGAAACCTTCTTGCCTAGAAGAGCGTGGCGTGGGCGACTGCCTGTGGGCGAGATGTGTGTGTTTGTGTCTGTGTGTGGAGAATAAGCAGTGCCATCTCTCTCACGTAATAATGTCAACCTCCTTCTGCCTAAAAAATGTGCTTTTCCATGGTAACCAAATCACTGAGAAGAGCCAGTGAGAGAAAGGGGGACAAAGCAATTGTGTGTGTGTGTGTGTGTGTGTGTGTGTGTGTGTGCCTGTAAAACTGAGAAAGAGAGTGTGTGTCAGTACTGAAGGACAATGACAGCGGTGAAAACAAATAAAAACGGCACAAATGCCATTTAGTCTTGAGAAAGCGCTGCATTTGCTACCTGATATGAACCGGAACATCGATTTCCTTTTTTCCTCTTACCTTTCCTAACCTCTCTCCCTTTTATTCCTTTGGTTTTCTTGCCATTTATTTCCCTTCTTTTCATTCCCTTTCCTTTTCTCTCCTTTCCTCTTTTTCTCATTTCCTTTCCTTTCCCTGCCCTTTATTTCCTTTCCTTTCTTTCAGTTCCCTTTCCCTTCCTCTCCGCTCCCTTTTACCTTTCCTCTCCTTTCTTTTCTTCTCTTTCCCTTTGTTACTTTCCCTTTTCCATTTCCTCCACTCTGCTATTTTCATTTCCTTTCTTAATTCCTTTCATCCCTCCTCACCCTCTGGCTCCAGCTGACACACCTGGCTAACTTGACAAATGAAGACACCACACACCTGTCACTCACACTCCTCTATACCCCTTTCCCTTCATCTCCCGCCCCCAGCCCTGCTCCATCCATCTGCTGACAAAATGGTGAAGATGTGCGTTGCTGCCACATCTCTGCCAGCAGCAGCATTCAGCAGCAGCTTGCGGCGAGAACAGCATTCATTTAGGCCCGAATTGTGTGAACATCAGCTTTTCCTTAAATGGGAAGAATAGAAGGGAGCCTTGGGGGGCAGGCAGCGGGGAGGGTGTGGTTGGCTTTCAGCGAGCGTGTGCAGTGACCCTGCCCTCAACACACACACACACACACACACACACACACACACACACACACACACCTCGACAGAATGACATATGAGGCAGCACTGGTTGTAAACTGCCATCGTTCAGGGAATGGTAAATCCTGAATGGTGGAAAGAAAGATGACCGCAAAAGACATAATGCTCCATTTCCTCTAATAAGGTAGTAGATCAACTCTGCAAGCAGGCCAAATGCATTCAGTGGTGAGGAAGGCTAAAAGCAAAGCAGAGCTGTTGTGGCTGTAAATCCACACAGGTTTTACATTTTTGATCTCAGGATCACGGAGAAGACTCTCGCTGCTCTCAAGGCTCCACATAATCCAACACGTCCTCCAAATTAGACAACAAAATACTGTATGTTGTACACAACTGTCCTCCAAAACCACACATATAATATGAGTTTCCTGATCTGATGCCTTCTAAAACTGTTACAAATCACAGTTGAAAAATCATTTATTTTATGATGTGACAATGACAACTATATGTTTGGAACCTGGTTGTCATGGTTGCAAAAAATAACCAGTTGATGAAAGTTCACGTTATCATGGTTACAAAAAGCACAACGTTGACTGTCGTAAGAAACAGGAATCAAACTGCAGTCTCCAAATTCATTTTTTAATTTTCTAGACTTTCCAAATGTTATTGGACTGAATGCATCAAAGATTGTGAAACACAGGGGTTGTCCCACTTTAGATAAATATATCCACCATTTAGCCGCCACTTGTAGGCACAGTCACAATGTAAGGGTTAAGGCCTCTATGCATCACGTGATGGGGGCATTGCTGTAAATACACGGCCATGGCACACCCCCTGTGGGCTTGGGCCCTGTATCGTGTCGGTCATCTTTCTTTCCTCACGATGGGCACAAGTCATAATTCCTATGGCCACTAGAGGGCTTTGTCATTTGAATATATTCATCCACGCTGGTGAACAAATATATATTCATAGATGATTTTTGGATGCTAACAAATTAAGCATTTAACTTAAAATCACATAGGTTTCAATCTCTAATAGCGAGTGTTCTGTTAGATGACCATTTATTTTATATGAATTGTAAACCAGAGCAACAAGTTTCTCTGTTTCAGAGAGAAATGAAAGAAAGGCAGAATGAGAGACTGTGTTCAGTTAGTGGAAAGCTAGTGGAACTACAGTTTGCAAAATAAAATAAAAAATTTGAATGATGGCATTTTCCTTGATCTCAACTGCTTACAATGTTATTTTTACTGATAGGAATCTTTGAACACTGCACATGTGGGCTTTCACTTTCAGCGAGAGTGATAATAAGATGAGCTGTAGCAGTATCACAATGCACTTAAACAGTAAAGATGTGTCTGTTTCTATTGGCTTTTGCCAGATCCAGTCAAGTAGGTCCTATTATTAGACATACAGGCCATGACTGTGAAGTGATATTGTCAGCTCCAAAACCAGGCTTTGCTATAATGTTTGCCAGCCTCATAAGCACATATTTTCTCTAGCCCAGGAAATGTGTGCAGTCGCATGGTGGTGTGGGGGTGGATGTAAAGGAGAGCAAGAAGACAGACAGTGAACAGAGGGGGATAAGAGTTAAATGGAGATGCTTTAGGACAGAAGAAGGGAACAAAGAGTGTTACAGAGGCTACTACAGATATAGTGGTGTATGAGAGGAGAGGAGTGTGAGGAGGAGGAGGAGGAGGAGGAGGAGGAGGAGGAGGAGGAGGAGAGAGCAGCGGGTTAGTCATCTAGTACTGAGAAACATGATTGAGATTATGCAGTGCATCCTCCCTTCCGGTAAAATGTGCAGTGTCAGCTTGATGCAGTAAGCGAGCAAGAGTCTGCGTGGCTGTATCAGTGTGAATCTGAGCATGTGTGTGTGTATGTGTCTCTTACTGGTAGATTGTCGGCACGGGGTACCAAAATGGCTGCATTAAGACTACTAAAAAACCCAAATGTGTTAAATGTGCTTGTACATCATATATGAAATACTTATATAATGTGTTGAAAACGGTTGTACTTTTCTGGACTATATGTATGTATAAAAAGGGTTTCAGGTGTAATAACTGGCGTGAAGTGATACTAATTTTCTGATCTTTGCTTTTCAAATACTAGATGTTTCTACGCAGTATTTATGGCACATTCTCAAAATATGGGCTCCAGTGAATCAAGGTGAGTACAGGAGCACATTCTCACTCACATGATGCCATTTTTGGCACAGAATCAGGGTATTGTGGCTTTTTTCATAACACCAAAATTCTGAATGATTTGTGTGTGTGTGTGTGTGTGTGTGTGTGTGTGTGTGTGTGTGTGTGTGTGTGTGTGTGTGTGTGTTAGGACCCAGCGCCTGCCTGCTCTCCACTGGGAGGCAGTGCTCCTCTACAAAGGAGACAGATTGTCAGCGGTTTGTTCCCTTTCAGGAAGCCATCTGGAGCTGACATTAAACACACATAAACAAACACGCAGCCATTAACAAGCTATAGCACCAGCGATAGCAGGGCAGTTCGACAGAGAGGGGGTTATGAAATACACATCATCTTCTTCACACACTTCAGAGCTAGCTTAGCCTTTCTACCACACACTGGAATTGATTTTAACTTGGAACTGCTGGGTCTAATGATGTGTGCTGTTGCAAAGCAGTCCAATGAGTAACCTATAGTTCAGCTCCTAACACTGATGATATAATTAACATGATTCTATCCTTGAATTTCAAGTTTATATGCAGGTGGTTCAAATATTATGTCATTTAAAAAAATATATGTAGAGTACAGTAAGTATCGTTTTTTATCTATCATGTTTAAGAGCAAACAATGACTCATATTAAGGCCAGCTGGAGTAGAGTTTCCTTTAAGTCAACATACACCCCACCACCCCACTCCCATCCTATGTTACTGTTGCTATGCATGTTTCCATTTTCCATACAATAACAGTGGCAGATTTAAAGCTGCAGTAGGTGACTTCTATAAAAGTAACTTTCTGTCATATTTGCTGAAACTTTCACTTTATCCTGACAGTAGTACATGAGTCATGTCTGACTGAAAACAACCAATTAGAGCTGAGAAAGATACTACTATACAACTATTTTTCTCAGCTCTGATTGGTTGTTATACATTGTTAGAAAAGTTACATTTTGCAGCTTGAAACACTCGAAATGAAGTTATTTTTTAAGAGTTTCAGTCATGGATGTATAAAGAGAACAGGGTCCAGCGTTGGAGGCGGCACTCCGTTCATGAAAGTTGTTCAGTGGCGCATGAAACCAAAAAAGTCACTTCCCTCCGTAAAACCGAGCCAACTAACTTCCAGTTTAGCCCTCTGTTAACTGGCATGGGCATGGATCAAATTCTGGGGCCAGTGTGCATCACATGACGGACACCATTGCTGTTATTACACAGTTTGGCCCTCTTTGTCAAATTTGTGCATTTGATATGTTTTTTAGCAAGATTTTCACCTTAAAATCCTTAAAAAGAGATCAATATGCACATTTAGTTCATTTCTAAAGTTCTCCTGCTGGACACACAAGATGTCTCCTCCTTCACTGTAAAGTCCATTCTCAGTGGGTGTGCACTGGTGGATCACACTGTACAAGTTGCATACTTACGGTGGCCGACAAGTGCAAACGCGCCGCAAACGGCAAAACGCTGCAAACACGGGAATGATGCAAAATCAAAAACACACAAACACATGAAAACAAGGGCAACAGAAAAACGCAGCAAATTCGCTTCACAAAACGGAAGTGCGCCAGGCCACTAGGGGGACCCGACCTGAGGGATGGACCATGAAGAAGAAGAAGAAGAAGAAGAAGAAGAAGAAGAAGAAGAAGAAAGTTGGAGAGGAGAATAAAAAGGTACGTTTTCCTTTATGTCTTTTTTAAACACTTGGCTGTAATCTTTTATAATATTATAATTATATTATAATAATATTATAGAAGAATATTATAATAATATTGTAATATAATTATAATATTATAATTTGTAATTTTGTTTTGTGAAGCGAATTTGCAACGTTTTTCTCTTGGAGTTGTTTTGTTGTTTTGTGTGTTTTTGGTATTTGCAGCATTTTTCTGTTGCTGCGTTTTTCTGTTGCATTTGTTTTAATGTGTTTGTGTGTTTTTGGTTTTGCGTCATTCCCGTGTTTGCAGCATTTTGCCATTTGCGGCGCGTTTGCCCTTGTCGGCCACCGTACATACTGGACCAGGACTGACTTCCAAACTATTTGTGATGTCACAAATCATGCTGGTAGGCCCCGCCCCTTAAAATCAGATGTTCAATGAGCACAGAGAAACTTTCCACTTTCAGCAGATGAATGTGAAAACATCCTTCTAGTGTCAAACTCTGCACAGACAGCATTCTGGAATAGGAAAACAAAATTGATTGGAGGGGGACTAACGCTAAAGGCTAAGAAAGACCCTAAAAAAATAAAGTACCACTCCTACTACAGGCCCAGGCACACAACTTCAACATATAGAGTAATCCAAAGCTTGACAGGTCTACTATGCCTAGTTACGGTTGCTAAACTATGATTGGACAGGGTGCCCGGTTAGCTTGGTGGGTGGAGCCCATGTGCCGAGGCTCAGGGTTCGAGTCCGACCTGTGGCCCTTTGCTGCGTGTCATCCCCTCTCTCTCTCTCTGCCCCCCTTTCCTGTCTATCTTCAGCTGTTACTATAATAAAGGCAATAAAAGCCCAAAAAATATATTTAAAAACAAACTATGATTGGACAATCTCAGATGTCAGGGTTCAGCTAACAAGCAACCAATTCTACCAGTAGAATTGGTTGTTTGTTAGCTAAAGTCATATTGTTTGTTTGTTTGTTGTTTGTTAGCTAAAGTCATATTTGAGTTAAGCCCAGGTCGTCTTGATATTTGGATTTTAATCTAATAGAGTGATCAATGAGAAAAGTGAGCAGTTACTAAATCACAGATGTATACCATGAGCAGCACATCTTTTCACTTTGCTATTCGGACTCATTTGCTGCCTTACCTTGAAGCATAATCCCCGCCAAACAATGAATCCTCTCTCTGACTATTCAAGGGCTCTGCGACATCCCACACTCTACTCAACTGCCATTCTCCTCATCATTTGTGACTTTGACAAGGCTCAGCGGTAACAACACTTTGGCGACATTTTGCAGTGACCAAGCATTAAGGGGAAGTGGACAAAGTGGAACATATACCTAGGCCCCTCCCGTCTCCCCATGGCAAGGCTGGTCTGGTCTCAAACACACAGGCAGGGAAAGCATGCACAGGCATGAGTGTGCATTCGTTGTGCATTCAGATAAATGGTCTGTAGGGTAGAGTGCTTTCTCATATGCATGCCAGCTGAAACGCCAATCTCCCCTTCCCCATTTTTGTCAAGAATTTTTTTTATCCAGTATCCATTTGGCCCATTTTAGCACAGCCATGCCTACAGCCATAGGAAGAGGGGTAAGGATGGGTCAGTGGGGTCAGACGCCCCTGCCGACAGCCTATATTATGGCTCATGCTCGCTCTGCCCGCCAGTTGACTTTCAGGGTCTGCATTCATTCTCAGAATTAGAGTTACTGATGCAGGATCACCAGCCAGCTGCCCTGGGACCGCTTAACTACAATGATCTGTGAGCCAAGAACTGATAGTGGGTCGGAATTCCTCTTCTGATACTGTGAATGAGCACAGACCCAAGTGTGAAGGGGGAGACAATAGTGGTGACCCATGCAGCAAAATCCATCACCCAGCAAGCCTTACCCTGTCCTTCACTATGAGACACTTTGCAAGGGGAGGAGACAGACAATGGACACAGAGTTAGTCAGGGTTTACACTGGAGACACAATAGTTCCAGGTGGCTCCACCCCACACAGTACAGTAAATGCTCGGGAAAATCAAAGTTAACAAAAAAGTGTGAACTATCAGGGACTCCCTCTGTTCAGTTAAGTCAGTAATCCATAAGTGGATTTGTACACACACTGGCTCCGTTCCAATCCGATAGCTCACTCTCTTGCATCTGCAGTTGTTGCTTTCAGCTGGAACAGTACAGGTCTGGCTAACATGGGAGAAACTAAACTTGGCAATATTTTGGCATCACCTTTCCAGGGTAGAAGTTAACATGCTGTAAACGGACAAGAGAAATCTCAGCTCCAGATTTGAACACAGCCAGCGTTTTATCCCTTTAAGGTGGCACAAACATCACATTCACAGCACAGAGAGAAACACAAAAAAGATGCTAACCACTTTGTCCTCCTTTGTGGCATGCAGTCCAGGTAGCAGTGAGGAATTGAGAAAAGTGAGGGCGGAAGTGGAGCAAAAGAAGAAAGGAGAGAAAAAATTTAAGAACATAAAAGATTGAGGAAATATAGATGTGAATTTGTGAAATGGGATATTGGACAGATTGTGGGTGAGGAGGGGGAAAACAAAGGAGCAAAGGGGGGAAAGAGGACGTGGTGCAAACATTTGTTAATTATATTCTGCAGAATAGATACACACACTTCATATTCAGTAACAGAGTGCGAGGCGGTGGGGGCGACAGTATGTGAATGTATGTGACCACTGACATGTTAGGCGGCAGCGACATGCATGACCCAGCTTGGCGTGACCTTGGTGTGATTCATGACCTGTGACAACATCAAGATGTGTCACAGCTCCTCAACACAAAGAGGAAACTGGGACACAAGAAGCAACATGGAGCACAATCTTCCACAGCCCTTACCTTCACTAAAACTCTGTCTATTCACTGCCATACTGTCCAGGTCTGTTCATTTTCAAATATTCTAATCTTTTGTGGCTTAAGCCATAAAAAAGCACTTCATTGTCAGTAAAAGGGCCAAATAAAAAGATTTGGAATGATCATTAGTATTAAATTTGATCATCTTTGTTTTGGCCTCAGGACAGAAGCTAATTAGTTCAAAGAAATTGTGACTCTTATTTTTTTTATGTAAACTGTTGGGTAATGAATCCTGTAAATAAATGTAAATACAGCGTGATAAATTAATAAATCTAGGGTTGCTAATCCCGCTTTAATTACACTGTATGTCCATTATAATGTCAAGGAGGGGCGAAGCTTTGTGGACTAAATCAGTGTTTGGATGGCATTTGCACAGCATGTTGCTGTGATGCCTTCTGCAGGGCACAGGGCAGCACTGCACAGCTCTGTCATTAGCAACTGATGAATTATTACAGTGAGCTGCTCAGAGGCAAATAAGATTTTATAGACTGATATACTCAATTCTACAGAGCCCCTGTAGTGCAAATGTTTTAGTTCTTAACTATTTTCAGAAAGGCTTTCCTCTGAGTTCTGTCTGTTTAACAGGCTCAAATAAGAATCAGTAAGATTGTGAAATGGTGTTCAGAAATAATTTCAAAGCCTGCAGTTGCATGCCCTTTGTAAACCTGTGAAGAACTCTATGAGACATACATGTTTGTGAATGTGTAGGTTTTGAAGCTGTAGTTGTTACACCATGAAAAGAAGAACTGCTTTTTGATCTCTCTGAACATATGACTGGAAATTCATTTTTAATGGACGTATCGCAGCATTTTATTATTTCTGAACAAGCTCAAAGTCTTATTTGCTTCCCATGTATGCTACATGGTACTTTTTCAAAATGATGTTTGGTACTTTCTGTGGTACTATGGTTATGTTTTAAAATAACATTTAAGGTACCAAATGCTATTTTAAAACATTCCCATAGTACCACAGAAAGTGGTTACTAATATACTGTTTTAAGAATAACATTTGGTACCTTTTTGAGAAAAAAGATATGTTACCTTTTTTGTGTGTGTGATTTGGATGTGGACCTTGAAACAACAAGGTATTCTTTTGTTCAAAAGTTTAAAAGTTCTGTCCTTATTCATTACCAGCAGTATGTAGCTCATTCATATGGATACATCTGATGAAGCAAGCTGTTGTACATACAGTGCATTTATACTCAACATTTTGGTGAACAGCAGCAAACACTATATTTGTATACTGCGTAAATGCACTTTTAAAAGCTGAACTGCTAACTAAAAGAGAACACTGTGTGCTGCTGATGTGGGGTAAATGAGCACACTGTAGGCAGGAGAAGGTTTTTATATAATAAAACGAAGCTCACACTTTCCTAACCCTGTTATTCTGCTTGGCCGGCCATATGACCCGGGACAGAGGAAAGCACCGCCGAGACCGAAAGGAGCTTCACTTCTGACACAATATACAAACACAGTATGGGCGCACACACAACCACTTACAAATGTACACACACAGAAAAGAAATGGAAGACAATTTACATCATGTGTTCTCTTATCCCTTGTAAGGATTTATGAATTAAATTGCTGAGTGAAAATCTGATCTGTTTTGGTCAATAAAGTAGTTGCATTATCAGAACTCATTGTTAAAGGCTATGTGCTAAAAGTAAACATATGTTGAAATATATTTATATATGTATTGTTATTATTATATTGTAATTTGATTTGAGACATCATTTTACATATTGGACTACGTCCCAGTGCACTACGTTGATAACAATGGAAGTATGTAATGTAAAGGAACCAGATACTGAATTGATGTATCTGGTATCTTCTAAACCCAGTTATTTGACAGGACACAAATGTAGTCATTGATTAACTGATTCTTTGTGTCAACATGTCTCTTGTGCATGAACACATACAAATCAATAAGAGGGTAAATTAAACAGTGAACTGCATTAAATCTGCCTTTTTTTTTTACTGGAATTATTTAGGCTCCTGAAATTTGTGGTGCAAAGTATCATCTGAAGGAATTCAATTCCATATTAAAAGATTCAAAAAAGCATTTATGATGTTATTTTGAGTACAACTTACCTTCAAATAAATCCTTTGCTTTATTTGTTTTATTTATAGATTGCATTTACATCATGCAAGTCTCATCTCATATAACAGCCTGCCTGCTGTGAAAGCAATATTAATGGCTCTACCAACAAGGATACTATCTTTATCCCCTATTCTCACTGGCCTTTGAGTTCTGCATACGTGTGATGCCAGTGTGAGCTCAGGCCCAGCTGGGCTGTGCGGATCCTGAACAGATTGGGGATCAGCAGGCCAAGGGTGGAGGGCCCACAGTCAGGTAAGATACCCAGGAGGAGGTCCTCTTTCTTAGGTTGGAGGGGAGCCCAGAGAATGCTTGGATAGAAGATGGCCGGGTCTTAAAATAGCACAAACATGTTTGGTTTATGGAGCTTGCTAATGTTAATTTAGCTCCATTGTGCATAACTACAGCCCCACAGCACTGCTTGTATGGCTGTATAGACTCCGTTTACATACAGTATTACAATGGTCCAAAAATGTGTGTTTTTGATGTAAACTGAGCATAGTGATAGGCAGCAAAGAAGTGGACAATGCTGCAGGAGTGAAAATGGGTTGCCATTGGAATCGATTCTAATTGTTGCTGATACAAGCTAATTACAGCTGCTGCCCTTCACTAGAAACTTTTTTACCTAACTGTGTTCGGTGTAGTGAGATTATGGTGAGGTTTCCTTTGAAAGCCCTATCTGAACCTTGTTACCCTGTTTGCCTCTCTTTTTCTCACTGGACCTGGTCTTTGTTTGGGCGTGTTGCTTGCTTGGTGGCTGCAGCGAAGTCACAGGACACACAGGACAACACAGATGATCACGTTCAAATAAGCTACGGTGCTTCAATTTATAACCATTCCACAACACCGCAGCCTCGAGCTTAAAATGAGCCTTGAAGGGTCTATGACTGATGCCAAGCCATCCGTCAAATACACTTTGGTCTCACCAAAGTGTGACCAGGAAGCGACAAAGCAAGACAGTAACAAACACAGAAGCAGAAGGACTGACTGAATGTCAGCTACAGCAGGAATGAGGTGAGTGTGACAGGGAGAAAGGAAAATGGGGGAGGTCAGAGGTCAGGTTCCTCACATTGTTGGAGCGCAGAGAGACCCGCCCTCCACAGCGAGCGCAGAATTTGGTCTGGCAGTAGGAGCAGAGGTGGCCGCAGCCGTCGGCAAACTTGGTCTTGCGGCAGATACCGCAGGTGGGCGCGTCGTCCTTCAGCTGGGTCTGCTGACGCCGCGTCTCCGCCCCAATGCGACGCACCTCCTGTTTGTAGCTCTCAAACTGCTGGTGCAGTGTTCTGAGAAGAGAGGAATGATAAAGTTTCCCCATTAGTGCTACATTCACAACTTTTTTGAACTTGATAAACTTTACCCTTCAGCGCTGCTCAGACAGATCTTCCTGTCTAAACGTCTTCACATTCCTAAAAACAACAGAAAAAAGGATGGTGGAATTTCTGAATAACTGAATGATTTTTAAAATAAATCAACAAAAACAATGGCGATGTTATGCATGCGCATGTTTGAGAACAACATTTCAGTTCCTGCAAAATAACTGGCAATTAGAGCACAACTTGAAAGGTGCCTTTCAAAGAAATCATACACGCAATCAAATGAAACTTCAGTTTCCTCAGCTCTCTGTGGCACACAGCCTTTCCCCTCCCTGCTTCCTGGGATGCCTATGATGGAAATAACCCGAGTGTGAATTGCAAATCAGGCCATGTGAAAACACCCACAATGTTGTCTCAACAGAACTGTCAAAGGGATACTGCATTAGCATACCATGGCTCTCATATAGGGGACCCAGACAGGCACTTTAATTACCTTGCTGAGTGAGAGAGATAGAGAGGAAGGAGATGGCTTCATTCACAGCTTTGCAGGCAATTTGCCTATTTGTGGAAACAGTCAAACTTTAGTTAATTCTCTGGCAGCACACTGACTTTACAGTCTTGTCTGCAAGTTATTTGTCAAAAGAAATGCATCAAGACAATAGCAACAGCAGTATTCACACTTTTGCACATTTGCTTTAGAAAAGTTCATACTAAATCTGTTAATCCTAAAAGAAAGTTGTTTGGAAGGGGAAGGCTGTACCGGTTAGTATCTGCAAGAAAATCAGCGATATTTCTTAAGTATATAAGTGCCATTGATTCATTTTTCAAGTCTATAAAATTCCCCAAAAAATAGTAACACCCATCACACATTCTGAGGTCCCAAAGCAGCATTCACATTGCAACAGTCCCAAAAACAAAGAAAGACTACCATATAGTGGCAACTCCAAAGTATTGGAGGTACCATTCAGTGCCTTTGCTCAACAGCACCTCACCAGTGCTGAGGAGGTGAACTGACACCTCTCCAGCTACCCATACCATGTTCCATGCTGGAACCCACCACCCTCTGTTTCCCAATCCAAGCACCAACAGACTGAGCTACTGCCGCCCCAACAACCCAAAGGCATTTACACTGATGATAAAGTGGATCACCTGGGTCTGTTAAAAGCAGACATGGCCTCCCGACTGTAGTACTCAGCTGCTGGGTGGGAAACAGGTAGAGAACATAACACCTGATCTGTTGTCAGCTGCTTTTTGTGGTAGAAAAAATCTAAGTGATAACAGTCCTCCACCATGACCCATCCAAAGTCCAGGAACGATGCTGTGTCTTCACAGGATAGCCATCTTAGCAAAACCTTAATGAAAAATCTTTCATAAGTCCAGGAAATGAGCTGACTGAAGCCAGTTGTACATTCCTCCTCACTAGTGCCTTTCTGGCTGTGTCTGGCTAGTGCTAGAGTAGAGACAGCAGACTGCCACCATACAGAGCTGGAACAGGGAGGAGACTGGCGGACTGCTGGGACACATTTGGCCAATCAGCTGACACGGAATGGCTGGAACAGGGACAGCGTTTTTGTGACGCGGAATGTTGAATGAAATGTGAAAAAAATATGTTATTGTGAGGAATATTTCCTGGAAAAATACACACACTGACGTCAAGCTTAGATAACAAAACATCTTCTGTAACACACAGCCTGCCCACCTTTAGGCTGATATTTTGAATATTATCAAGTCTTACATGCAGTTTCCTCAAATATTTGGCGTGTTGCATTTAAGTTCCAATGCTAGGGTTTTGTAATGCCTGAAAGGGACTTTACAGTTTGCCGTAATAACCTGGGGGCTCAACATCAAAGCATCTCTGCCATATATAATGCAGAGCCAGGGCACTTAAAAGTTGACTCAACATAATGAAGATCATCACTGTACCTCCGTTTTATACCATTACACTCATTCTGATCTCTATCTGTCACAAGTTTTGGCTGTGCTTGACTGTGGAAGACAGGTCTCTGAACAGATAACACACATAAAGGTTTCAAGCGTCTGCACATTCAGATATACTCAAGAGATGTAGAAATTTGAATTGCACATGCATGTTTTCACAAAACTGTTTTAAGTAGGTTCTGATTTAGCTAATAGTCATAAATAATGATAAATGGACGCTGGAGTTGACACAAACCTCTGCTAAACTGATCTGTACGTAATTCAAATGGAAAAACAACATGACACCGCCACGGCAGCAACGTCATAAACGTGACCTCTGACCCCAAGAAGCTATCTATCATGCCAATGGGAGTCCAGGGGCTGAGCCAAGCCCAGGCACCATGGGAACAGCTGTCAGAAACAGAGGGTGCACAGCCGGTTGTCATGGTAACTTGGTGGCGTCAAACGCTGGGTGTCAGCGCACCAGCTGTTCTTGTTCTTAGAGCCACATTTTCATCAGTCTTTTCTGCCACTTCCACGCATTCAGCAGACACACACTGTTAAAGCTGGACGAGGCCACTTTTTAATGTAAAAATAACCCTGTGTTCTCGGTCTAAATCACAAAGGAGCTCTGCAGCAGTGAGGACAGGCTCATCACCTCTGGCTGACAATCTCTGGATTATAGCCTGGGGAACTTCTAAGGTCAGGTCTGCACAATTTCCCATCCACAGGAAATGACAGAAGACAAAAATATCTCTTAAATGTTAAAAAGTTAGTCCAGTTCACTGAAATCTGGACCCCATAACATTAGATCTTTATTACTATTATCTTATACGGTATATCTGGATTTCTGGATACTTTTTTTTGTCAATTGTCCTTTCTTCCCACCACTCTCAGCTAACAATATGTACATTTATTGTGGCTTTAAATCTGTCTTAATGGTCCAGTGTGTAACATTTAGGAGGATCTATTGGCAGAAATGAAATATAATATTCATAGGTATTTTTTAATTAGTGTATAATCACCTGAATATAAGAATTGTTGTGTCTTCTTCTACGGAGTCTGCTATGTTGAACCACCATATTTCTACAGTAGCCCAGAACCGACCACCAAAACACAGGCTCTAGATAGGGCCTTTCAGTTTTGTTGCCACTGTAGTTTCTCCTACATGCTTGGAACAGGAGAGCAATCAGCAACTCCACAGCCAGATGCCACTAAATCATACACATTGGTTCTTTTATTGATGTGTTGCTCACTTGGGGCCAGCACAACGAGCTGGAGACAATTCTCCATGGATAAATCTCAAAGAGTGACCCCTTCCACATTACACAGTCATTTGATGAAGTGCTGTTGATTAATGCAGCTTTAAATCACAACGATTTCATATGAACCTGCACTTCTTACTTCAGACCCTCAGACAATTGCTAAAACAAAATATTTTTCTCCAAGTTTGGTAACTGACAGAGCTGCACAGTGACTGTGTGATGGGAACCTGCTCTCACAAACAAGTGCAAAGATAAAATGGCAGACTGACGCACTATGATAGGTAGATTCCATAAATACCAACAATATTCAGTGAAAAGCGAACACAATACACATTGTACAACTGCAGTATTCACCCAACAGACAGGTCCCATATTTAAAATTCACACCCTGTTAATAGACAATGTAACAGTCCAGATTGATGTTCACTGAGTCAGCACACAGTTCCCATTTACATTGTAATTTCCACCTAAATGCACATTATGAACACTACCTTTATGATAATCTTAACTTTGACTCAGCAGGGGATACACGAATGACCATACGGATGGAAAAGCAATCACTCTGCGAAGACACAGAAGTAAAAAAGACGTCCTCTTAGAAAGGACAAGCTCTCTGTGTTCACTCTACTGTGTATTTACGGATTACAGGCCTGAGCCTGCTGCCTCCCCAGGGGTCAGCCACCACGCCTGAGATCCCAGGTGCTGAGAAGTGCTACAATATTTTAGTAGAGCAGAGAGACTCTTTCTTCAGTTGATTTCACTCAAAAGCAAACTTGCAAAGAGAAATGGCCATTTTGTAATATTTGTTTTCTCGCTAAATTAACACATTTTTTCAACATCTGAATCATATTGTGCCAACTTTCATCCCTCCTGGATGTACAGTACATTAGTGTCTGCGCAAACCAGGCCTGAGAGATGAACTACACAGACAGACCGCACTACAACTACACACATCACAGACATACAGGACAGGTACTGAACAAATGGACACGATGACATGGTTTTGCCATGCAGTACCACACCACATACGCTACTTAAACTTAAACTTACCAATATATGCCAATGTTTTTATAAACACTGAAATGACCATGTGTAATGTAAAAGGAGTTGCTCATAGTGACAAGCCTGCAGGAAATGATCACCCAGCCCTGCATTTCCCCAGAGCTCTATACGTAGCCTTTAAGTGTCTTTTAGCTCATTGCATTGGGTTTCTAGTCTGCAACACGGCGGCCATTACCCTCACAGGCAACTGTTTTCAGTGATAAAGCTCTGATAAACCCACTGTACACCGCCTGCTCAGCACCAAGCAGCAGACAGACAAAGTTAGCAACTATATATTTGAGCATTTAGCGACTGAAGAGACAGATATTTTTCTCAAGAGTTGGTGAAGAACTAAAAGGAGAGTGAAAGTTGCATTAACTTGGTGGGTCTAAACACAACTCCAGCAAATGCTAATGTTCCTCAATATCTGCGGGATGTATAAATATGAAAGTATACTGCTGTCCCCAAGTGGCCCGAAATCAATTAATGCAGCTTTAATCACACCTGTGTTTGACCTGCTGTGAAAAGTCAAAATGGCTACCATTAAAAAGTTCTCTTATTCATTCAAATTCATTAGAAATGGCATTAAATTACTCAATACAAGCAGTTACTGGATTGTGTCTTCTGTATAACATTAAAACACAATTAAACAGAAAACAACTTATTGTGACATTATTAGCTGCCGTCTGTGCGAGGCCTATCTGTCAACCACTAACCTAAGCTAACCGCTAAGCTAGCTGCTCAGAT